CACAAAACAAGATGTTTAAAAACAAAACATTCTTTGCCACAAATAGAAAATATTTTTTGCAAGAATCGAAGCCTTTATGCCATGAAAACAACCTGTCTCAGTGTTTGTTTCACTTATCTCATCCTTTTTATAGTTCTTATTTTGGGGCTTCATAATCACATTATGGCTTATACTTTCATAATTCCTATGTACACTCCAGGATACATGATAAGATAATCAAGTGCTTTAATGAGTAACCAGCTTAAAGATGAGTACGTTTTAGCAGACAGAGCAGGGGCACCCATGCATGTGAAGAACACACCCTCCAACCTCTTTTACAGATTAAAAAAATTCTCCTGTCTAAAAGACCTTGGAGCAGTCCCAAGGGCGCCATCTCGACCCCACTAACAGACGGGCCAGGTCCTCAGCGGTGAAATCCCTGAGTATGATCGGCCTCCGTCACAGAATCCCCTAAGAGCCACATCCAACAAACAGGCCACAACACCAGGCACTCGGCCTAAGCAAACACCACTCTAGAGAGTCGTGAGCTGGGGTCAGGGGGCCCCAGGCCGTGGGCATCCACACCGCACTGAGGGGACACTCTGCAGCTGCCCACGGGCCCGAGAGGGCGGGACCCCGAGGGCAGGTCATCTGCATCCCCAGGGCCCAGGGAACCCGAGAACCTCAGGCCAGGCAAACAGCAAGCTCGAGGTCCCTGGGCGGGCACATGGAGAGAGCCTGGGGAGAGCGGCCCACGTCACCGCAGGGCTCGATGACCCTGGTGGCAACGCGGGTGGTAGAAAGCGCAGGATGTCAGCTCTGACAAAACAGAAGGACCCGCCCCGCCCCCTGGCTCTGTGGGCCCCTGATAGAAGGAGGGTGTGGACGGGGCGACCTGGCCAGACCGGCGGCAGCTGAGGCTCCGGGAACGGCACGCAGGGGTCTGGAGCAGGATGCCCCCAAAGCAGACGCTGCCTCAGGGTGGAGCTGACCGACAGACCACACCTCAGAGGGGACAGAGGGACTGCACTGTCCCCTCCTCATCTGGATTGCTCACAGTCAGACCAACCTCCCAGAAAGGACCTCTGAGGTCAAATGAAAGGACTCGTTCATTTGGAAATATTTCAAATATTTCCAAATATTTGGAGACGGCTCGTGGAGACGGCTCAGTAAAGGAAACATCTGGTTCTTGTTCAAGTATTTCCAGCTAGGTGACCTCAAGTCAAATGCCGTCCTTACCTCACCTCCTAAAGTCATCCGGCAACAGGGAGGGCACCGAGGGACTTCAAAGAGAGCAGGTCTACGGGCTCCTGGGCCAGAGTGGTTCAAGCCGCTTCCAGCTACAGGACACCGACCGCCAGACACTCGCCCTCACGCTTTGGAGCACGTAACACGGAGTCCTGCAGAGTGACTGCCACTCAACAAACACCCACGGGCGCACGCTCTACCGGGGCCAAGGCTCTGAAGCAGCATCACCGGCATCACCGGGGATGAGGGTTCAGAGCTCTTTTCACGTCTGAGTCACTGCGACGGGAACGACAGTTACAGGCCGTTCCACCCGAGGCCTGGAACCCTAATTCAAAGGATCTCATGGGTTAAAAGCCAGAAGGGCAACTACAGTCTGCCTGAACTCAGCTCAACAAATGCTCTACCGGGCACGAAGGCACGAGCAGGACACTCAGAACTTTCATTACAGCCTCAGCGCAGTCACTACAAGGCTAACTAAATCCACAGAATCATTACAGACAAAAAAGGACTCAGGGAACAAGGTCTCCCGGAGGGAGTTATTCACAGACCCCCGGCTTCAGAGGTCGAGGGGCCGCTCCAAAGAGGGGCTGGTGAGCCAAACCAGCGAGGAAAGCAGTCCCCTAGATGTGTCTTTTTGTGTTTGGGTGTCAGGGAGGAGGTAAGTGTGGGAAAATGAAGTCCGGGACCGCACTCGGGACCCCGGGGGCCAGCACTGTGCGGAAACTGTGCCCTGCAGTCCCGGGGATGGGGCGTGACGCGTCACCCAAGGTTTCCAGGAAGGCGAGAAAGGCCAAGCGCTGGACCGCACCGGCCCCAGGGCGATGAGGAAGTCCCAAGGACAGGACAGTGAAGTGAACAGGAGAGGACATGACGGCGAAGAAGCTCACACTGGTTTCCCTTTTCTAGATCCGTCCCTTAGGGGGAAACGCGAGAATCTGGTTTTTCACACAGATCAGAGTAACTTTCTCAACCCACTGCAGCTACGTGAACAGGCGATTTTCACACTGACTGGCCAGGTCAGGCCAGCAGAGCTTCCTGGGAGAGTTCAAAGCCATCTTCATTCACAAAACACACTAGCAAAGGTGCTCTGAGCAACGAATGGCACCCAGCAGGTTTTACCCTCTCCCACCAGAATCCTTTAGTCTGAGATAAAACCCTCGTACTCGGGCAGCCGCAACACCGAGACCAGTGAGAGCCCCAGAGAGCCCACCGGGGAGTCCATTTTTCTTACAGGGGGTGAGGGTGGGGGAGCACTGCCCATGTCTCTGCCTTTCCGCTTCCGGTCATGCACCTCGGAAACAGGCCCCTTTCCAAGGTGAAGCTGTAAATGTGTGCCCACCCTGCCCCAGCCCCCACCCACAAGCCGGCAGTGCCAGGAGCAACCCGGCTGGCACTGGCTGGGCCCCACACCCAGCTCCCGACACATTCTCTCTCCTCTCTAAGTGATGAGACTGCATGTCGGCCCCCGGGGCTCTGAGCTTCCACCTCTCAAGCGGTCGTTTTTGATGATGCTCTCAGGCATCATCCTCTTGCCTTCTCCAAAATTCCTTTAACAGGCCCGTCCGTAACAAAACACCCCGGGTATCGGCCTTGCTCCCAACTGCCCAGCACCACAGCGCTGGGGCTGGAGACACCTGGAGAAAAGTCCAGCTTGCTGCTGACCGTCCTTGGGAATCTGCTGAAGGAAAGGCCGTTAGGGACCGTAACGGCAGAATCGAGATATAACCGCCACACGGTGCAACTACAATATGGAACTGTAGAGGGCCAATGCTCTTTAAGTTAAAAAACTACAAAACTGCCCTAAGTGGTGTCCCTCGGTGGCCCGAGCGACCTCCCACAAAGCAAAAGGTCACAGGTTCCATTCCTGATCAGGGCACATGCCTGGGCTGCATGCCAGGTCCCCAGTAGGGGGCGCACAAGAGGCAACCACACACTGATGTTTCTCTCTTCTTTGGCCCTCCCTTCCCCTCACTCTAAAAACAAAGTCTGTTTAAAAGATCATAAAACCACCTTAAGCAACAAGAAAGTCCTTATCAGTGCCAAAAAATGTAAACGGGCTTTGAAACGGGCATGAAAAGAGACCCTTTCCTGGGAGTTTCAGTACTTGTCATCCTTGATAAGAAACAAAAACAGCAGAGTTGGCTACACCCCCCCCCATAATGGCTCCCGACTCCCCTCCCACTTGACAGTTTATCAACTTAGACGACGAACTGAGAATGGGTGGCGACAGAGGAGGACAAGGAGAGCGGAGTTCTAGGACCTCTTCCCACCTCCGCAGTGACTGGACTCTTTCTGAGATGTACCCAGGAGTGTTGGCTTCTAAAGGCTGCCCTCCTCCGCCAGCTTCAGCCGCCTCCCGGCCCCAACCCCCAGGACCGGCCCAAAGGTTAACATCTGGACCCAATCACGCAGCAGGCACCGCTGCAAACCCAGCCTGAACAAACCGGGGGGAAAAAAGGTCCCGTGAACAGGAATGCGCCACGGAAAGAACAATTCTGAAAAAGAGATACAGCTTCCCGAAAGAGCGGGCATCCTGCTCTGGCTTGGAATTACTGGTAACAGTACCACTCGTAAAGCATACGGGGGAAAGGTATTTTTTTAAAAAGGCATTCGACCGGGGCAAATGCGGCAGAAAGTTCTGGGACCTCAAGCAGGCAGTTCCAACTTAATAAAGAAGTCCCCCCCCCCCCTCCAGCGCCAGCTGTCCGGTCTGCGCCAAAGCCAAACAGACCTGGAGAGAAACGTGGAACCGAAAGGGAGGGGCCACGGCAGAGTCGCCCGGGGCAGGAAACCTCGTGGTGGCTTCGCATGGCGCCGGCAGTCTTGCTCTGGGTTCTCCGGCACGGAGGCGCCAGCCCTCGCGGAGCCCGAGCCCGAGCCCGGCACCTGGCGCCCACCTCCGGCCGGGGCCCCAGGAGGAGCTCCCGACCAAGTGAGAGGCGGCTGAACGTCACGGGAAACAGTGGCATCTCTTAAAGGCAAAGAAAGAAACAGCTGGGAGGTCCCCACCCCCGTCCACCTGCAGAAATGGCCTCGGGTGCTCGAGGGAAGCATTCCCCTCGCCTCCCCGCTCGCGGGTAACACCAAACGGCGGACTCCGGGAGAGCCCGACCCCCCGCAGGCCCCCTTTCCGAGGGCGCCAGCGCCTTGGCCCCGGCGTCCGAGAGCGCGGAGCTAGTGCAACTTTCTCCTGGAAGCCGGCCACGTTTCCTCTGTCACCACAAAACGGGAAGCCCCGGCCATTCTCATCTCGCTGATGTCACCGCACCTCTGTGGATCTCAGGATTTCACCCGGAAAGCCCCGCGATCCCAGCCCAAACAGGGCTCGTCGCCCCGCACGCTCGCGCAGCCTCTGGTGCGGTCCCAGCTCGCTCTGCCCTCGGCACCCGGCTGCGCCGCTGGGCGCACGGCCACGAGACCCCGGAGGGAGGCGTGGGGGGCCTCGTTGGGGACCCGGCTCCGAGCCCTGTCCCCAACAGGGAGCCGACTTGTAAAACAATAAGCATCCGCCTCCTCTGCCCCTCCCCCACAGGGCTCCGGCCACGAGTTACCGGCGCCAGGGGGGCGAAAGAAGAACCTGCGCTGGGTGGCTGGCACCCGGGACCCGCCACGGCCCGAGCGCCCGCCCGCTGTGCCCGCAGCGCCTCAAGTCCGCGCTGGAGACCCGGCGCTGGAGCGCGGCCAGCAGCGAGGCGCACGGGCCACGCGGTGGCTGCCGCAGCTGACACGGCCCGCGGCCGCCAGGCAGGGGGAGAGAGCGCGGCCCGCCGTACCTTGCCGCTGGCCGTGCCCCCGCTGACGCCGATCAGGAAGGGCTCGCCGCTTTTGGGCTGCTGGCGGCTCTGGAGGGTCTGCTCGCTGTCCCCGGCCATGGCTCGCTCTGCCCCTCCTCCGCGGCCTGTGCGCGCGGACGCACGCGCCCTGGCTCCCTGCTCCCTCCGCCCCGCCGCCGCCCCCTGCGAGGCCGCCGCCAGCCGCTCGGAGCCGGTGTGGGCCGCGGTCCCGGAGGAGCGAGCGTCTGCCTCTGCGCGCCCCGGTGGCCCGCTTACATCCCCGGCGGCGGGCAGCGTGATGCCGCTGCTCCAATCCGGCGGGCGGCGCGCTGCTATTCGCCAGGCGGCGGCGGCCGGCGTCTAGCCCAGTCCCCGCCCGCAGGCCCCGGAGGGTGCGAGCCGACCCCCTCCCCCTCCCCGGCGGTTAAGCCTCCCCCGCGACCTTGGGCGGGCCGCGCTTTAACTAGGTGGAAATTCACCACTTTTTTCAAAAGGAATGAAATGCTGGAGGGGAGGATCCCGTCGTGGAGGGCCTGCCCAGGGTTAAGGAGCAGAATTAGAACCCGCGTGGGAGGTTGGAGTGAAACAAAAGAGTTACCGCGTTCACCCGCTGTACGGGCTACAAACGTGTTTCCCAAAAACGAGTATTTCCCCCTCCCGTTGGCCAAAATAATGCCAGCCCCTGGCTTGAAACATTCGCCTCTCGGAACCCCCAAACCCCGTCCCCCTTAACAGGCGACCCGGACGAGCAGGGTTATTTGAGGGCGCGCTCCCTCCCGAAATCAGCGTCCTTTCAAACCGCACTTAGAAACCCGAAATGCCGAGGTTCCTGCGGAGTCAGGGTTTGGGAGAACAGGCACGGAATACTTAATGCCATGCTCAGTAGCTTTAATTGAGCTGGCTTTCCAGAGACGGGCCTATCGCGTTAGGAAGGTAGCATTTGCCGTGGACTCGGAGCCGCTTCCACCGCGGGGGCCCGGGCGGTTCCCTGAGCAAGTGACGCCACCTGCCCCGGCCTCAGCGCCCTGCGCCCCCGGAGTGAGGAGCGCGGGTACAGGGTGGGATGGTTGGGAGTTGTTCGTGAATCGTTGTATCGGGAGTTCTGAGAGTGGTTCTGGACTCCAGACCGTGTGTGGGTGTTCTAAGGAAAAAAGGCCCAAACTGGAAGGGGAACAGTCGTTGGGGCCGGGGCACAGACTCCCCTGTCCGGCACTTCCAGCCCGGGTCTCTGCGGACCCCGAGCTGGGATCCAGGCGCTAGTGCGGGTCCCTCGGTCTAGGAGGAGGTAAAGCAATAGAATCCTCTTTTAAAACTTAGTAAATTAACTTAGATTCGAGAAACACGTTGGAAAAAACGATTAAGGAAAATTAAGTGTGTTAGGAAACAGCAATGTTCTTTTCACGTTTGAAGTTAGCTGGGAGGAGGCGCCCTCCCAGAGGGCTGTGGGTGGGTGGGTTTGCACTGGCATGTGCGTGGGACACAGGACACCTGACAGCCCTCAGGGACTTCTGCAGAAAGGACGGGGAGCCCAGATGGGGGGGGGGATTTGGAACCCGACACACCCCCAGCTAAGGGGATCAGCATATTGAGAGGAAGAGAGAGAGATACAGGGATGCCCCATCCTCCACGGGCTGCTCCCAAATCCCCACCTTCCTCATCCTTCCCATCACGCCCCCCACCCCCCAATTTTATCTCGATCATTTTGGACACAAAGCTGGGAGGTTTCGCAGGAAACACCATCTGGAGGCTCTGGTTCCCATTGTCCTGGTCCTGCGTTTAACTAGTTTTTTTCTTTTTAATTAATTTATTTCTTTTTAAAATTATTTTTCAACTACAGTATTCTTTCTTTTCCTCCCTTCCCAGCCCACCCCCTAACTACTTTGTGACAGCACTTGTTTCAACCCTTGTCTTTGTCAGTTTCAAGTGGATTACTCTGAATGGGTTGATACAGTTCTGGCTCTGTTTGTTGTTTGTTTTTAATTACTTCGGGCCCAGCCTCCAGCACGGTTCCCAGCACCAAGTGGGGCCCTAATGAATAGTTGCTGAATGAATGAAGAGACACCACGTGTCTCTGGAGTGCTCCTAAGGGACACTCGAACCCCTGTGGGAGAGGTGACTAAGTCCCACAAGGACCCCCTCCCCCCACCGTGGTGGAAGGAAAGGCCATGTGCCCCAGCTGACATTCCTGTGGTTACCACCCTTAGCTGCTCCGAATGCTTTGTCTCCCTGGCATTCTAAGTGACTTGTCTACCTCCAGTCCTAGGGTGAGTCTACTAACTAGCTGAACCAACTCATTAACTGAGCTAACTCATTACACATCTCTGCGCTGTTTACAAAGCTGTCTGGGTAAAGGGAAGGCCTGCGGGGCAGGGGATTGCCCCCAGTCACGGTGTGGCGTTTCTGCTCCTTCCTGTCCCCAGGGCTCGCTGCCCCACACATCAGCCGCTCCTGTCCATTCAGACGCGGGGAGCGCTCCTGGCTCAGGTGTGGCCCCCACAAGGGCTGGCCGGTCTTGGCTCTCTGAGAAGCGAGGCAGGCAATGAACCTGCGCTGCGTCATCCTCTCTGGGGAGGCAGGTCACTGAGTCCCAGAGCCCAGGATGCTCAAGTCCCGTCTGAGCCCACAGCAGCAGGGATGCTGTGGATTCTGGATTCAGTGTTTTGTTTTATTTATTTATTGATTCTTGACTGTCCTGCTTCCCAAGTTCCCCACCCCCCGACTAAAACAAAACAAATTAACAAAAAAACCACAAAAACAAAGATTTTCAATAAGACACAGAGAAGAGATTCAAGGAAATATATTGTCTCGATACATGTGATCACTGTTTAGTTGGCCTCATCAATCTCTGGCCTCGGTCGCATCTAGGGATGAAGTCAGCGCAAGAGGGCAGCTGCTGGCCAGTCCTCTACCCAATGGCCGGCCTTCTCTCCCTGAGCCGCTGAGCTTTCTGTTGCGCCTCTGGTCTGGAAGTCCTTCCTGTAGGGGCACCACGCCTACTTCTTTCATTTCTGAGCACATTTCCCAGCAGAAAATATGTGCCTCCACTTCAGCACATCTCTGAAGCATCCTTACTTCTCCGTATGGCCTAACGATGTTCTGCCATTTATTAAAATTTATTTTTCCATTACAGTTGACGTTCAGCAGCATGTTGCATTAGTCAGGTGCACTGTGTCGGGAGTGTACGGTTGTGTACTTTACAAAGAGGCCACGTGGTGCCTCCCGCGAACCAGCCCCTGCACTGACAGACCGTAACCAGGGCAGCTCTGCAAAGACGCTCTCGAGGCCACCTCACATCTAGGTCTGGAATATCCATCAGTCACAGTCGCAGACACAGCTGCACTCACAGCTCAGTCGCAGGCCACAGCAGCATCGGGGATGCAGGTCACGGGCTCTGCCCCAGAACTGGCGTGGGACTCCCGGGGAGGCCGGCGGTCTGTGTCCCACAAGCTCTTCGGGAGACTTGGACCCATGCAAGCTGGACAATCACCGGCCTGTGGAAAGAAGACCACGTGAGCTCTGGCCAGAAAAGCAAAGTCCACAATTTGCACTACTGCTGACTTTGTGACCTTGGTGAGTCTCTGAATTTCTATGTGCCTCCGTTTCGTTGACTGTTAAATGCCTGTTAAAATATATTTAAAAATAGATTTTAAAAAAATAAATGAAAAGATAATGTCCATAGTCCAACCCGTATCCAGGAAGTTCCCTTCGCAATGGAACCCCTTACACCTTGGTACAACCAGAATTCTGAGGCTTCCAGCAGGTTGCACACAGAGACACGTACACGGCACACGCACACACATGCGAGAGGTGAGGGAGGTGCCGACCACCCGGACAGGGGTCCTTCACAGTGCAAACCTGGGTCGTTTCGCTGGGTTGTTTCCTCAGGATGCACACATTCACTGTCTTGCCAGTGCTATTTGTCCTGGATACACCGATAAAGCAACATTGCTTAAAAAATAATAATAAAACATCTTTCACAAATGACCCTTTGGCACAACATGGCAAGCCTGGGCTGACAGCCCCTTAATGGAGCCCAACAGTCAAGACACCCCAGGAGCAGGAGGGGTGTGGACGGGCTCCAGAACTCCCCCCAGTTACTGCGGGAAAGCCCTGGGGCGGAGGAAGGCAGCCCAGCACTTCCAGCAGGGGGAAGAGATGGCGGGCTGAACACGTGGGAGGGCCGGGGCCCCGAAAATGGGTATTTTCAGTGGGGACGGAGGTGTCTGTCCTTCTCCCTCACGTTGGCCTTTCAAGGTGGCCCCTGAAAGTTGTCGTGCCTGTATGATTTCATCTCACGATGCTACAGCCCCGTGCACAGGTTGTACAACTTCACATCTCCACCAGCAACCTCCGGGAGACGGGGCTGCCGGTGTGGTCCAAGCTCAGGATTTCCAACAAGTTGACAGCCCAGGCCAGGGGACAGCTGAGAAACGGCGCCAGTGGGTCTTAAACTGGCGTTCTCTCAGTGTGTGTGGGGCGGGGGGGGAGGTGGCGGGGGCACAGCCATCTTTTTATTGCTTTAAGGTACTTTTTTTGGCGAACCCTCTACTGGGGATTTCTGTCCATTGTCTTGTCCTGGTTTTGGTCTCATCATTTTATTTTTTTCATAGCAACCAGCCATTGGTCTGTAGCACAGGGCAAGTACTTTGTTGTTTGTCTTTTGCTCCTGGTACTTTTTGCCATGCAGGTGTTTTTAACTCCATTTCTAAAGAAACTTACTCCTGTTTCTCGTGAGACGTGTATGGTCTCATGTTTTTACATTCGGGTCTCAAATGTAAACAGGGGGAGGTTAAGAATAGTATGGGAAATGTAGAACCCAAAGAACTTAGATGTATGACCCATGGACATGAACTAAAGGGAATGGCGGGGGAAGGGAGTATTTATCTCACGCACAAATCCTTTTCAAGCCTTTTCTATCCTTACTGATTTTCCGCCTACTTGTATCAGACAGACTCTCATTGTGGACTTATCCGTTTCTCCTTTCAGGTCTGCCTGTTTTTATTTCGTATTTTCCGAAGCTCTGAATGTGGTGCAAAGATATTTCAGTGTTTGGTCTTCACACGGAACTGGCCCTTTTGTTATGGTGAAGTGTTTGTTCTCTTTGTGCCTGGTAACTCACTCATCCTGCAGTTCACAGGCTCAGAGTGACTGAGGCCTCCAGCTTCCTGGGAGCAGACTTGCGTGGCCCCTCCCCACATTCAGAGCCCGTGGAAGGAATTATCTGCAAGGGCTGAGAGCCCAGAGACCTCAGAGAACAGAACGACAGGTCTGTGTCCCTGTGCCCGGGACAGGCCGAGGGGCCCAAAGCCCAGGAAGGAAGGGGTGAGTCTCCTGCGCTTTGGGGAGGGCTTCTGTGCACGGGACATACATGTCGTTCCTTCCACGGACACGTCTCAGTATCTGCTCAGGGGCCCTGAGCTGGGTACAGAGGCTGAGCTCCCAAAAGGCCCGGAGTTGGAGCACTGAGCTGGTGGAGGTTCAATAGCACTGCTTCTGGGATTTGTGTGTCTCCGCGAATGAAAGTCAATGTCTTTTTGGCAGCCGGGCGCATCACTACGATGAAGGGTTAGAGTCTGTTAGTGAGTAAGAGTGGTCTAGGGGCCAACGGTGCATCACGGGAATACTGAGGAAGCATGACAGAGTGCATTTGGAATGGGAAACGGCACCTCAGAGCTCAGCTTCTATTTAAGATGGCCCAGCCTCGTGCATGACGAAAATAAAGCGAATTTGGTTAGGTGTGTAAATATATTCAAAGGCTCCTTGTTTTTTTTTTTTTTAGAACTTTAAAAGATTTTATTTATTTCTAGAGAGAGGGGAAGGGAGGGAGAAAGACAGGGAGAGAAACATCAATGTGTGGTTGCCTCTCGCACACTCCCCCACTGGGGACCTGGCCCACAACCCAGGCACGTGCCCTGACTAGGAAACGAACTGGTGGCCCTTTGGTTCTCAGCCCAGAGCTCAGTCCACTGAGCCACACCAGCCAGGGCTCAAAGGCCCCTTCTCATATCACAGAAATTTAATGTTGAAACTAAAGTTTTTATATTTCCCTCTCTTAAAAGCCTTCCCAGCCACTGTCAGGGTGGTCCCATCTAGATAAAACGCAGACAGGTTTACCCTGGAATCAAGGAACCTCCAACTGAGACCCTCACTTGCAGGGGGCCCTTCTAATTAGGAGCTCACTTCGGTACTTAATTCTGACCCATAAGTCCATATTCTTTTTTCTTAAAGAGAGTCCCAAGGATTGTAAAAGCTTCAGGGCACAGAAGACTTAGAAAGTCCTTTGGCTGAACCTTAGAATTATAAAGTATTTTCCTTCTTCATCCCATCTTATTTAGTTCTAAGAATTACTATTTCATTCTTCAAAATTCCCTGGGCTTTTGCTCTTCCTCCCCAATTCCCACTGATCCAATGTGTCCCGCTCTGGGCCCCTCACTCCAACATGGACTGAAGGCAGCCCCATAGCCAGGTTTCCTGGCTGTGGTCTCCCTCGATGAAGCCCCCCTATTTCCAGCTGCCAGACTGATTAAAACCCGGAAACACTCCTTATTTTGCACGCCTACCATCCAAGCTCCAGATACTTCCATGACTCCCCACTACCACCGCTAGTGGGAGACAGAGAGAGGAACGCCATTATGAGAAACATTGACAGGTCCCAACCTGGGACTGCACCCACAACCCAGACTCCTGCCCTGACCCGGAATCAAACTGGCGACCTTCTGCCTTGTGGAAGACACTCAACCCATTGAGCCACACGAGTCAGGGCTGAATCCACTTCTTTTTTAAAGCTGACTCACATTCCATTACACGTTGTTGCTGTTTTTTATCTACTCATTCAGCGATGCACTGGTGGGTGACTTCCACCCTCTGGCTGTCATGAATGACGCGGCTATGAACCTGCCATTCTGCATTCAGGGAAACTGAGGCATGGCCTGAAGAAATGATTTGCCTAAAACCGCACATCTGGTTGTGTGGCGACCAGATGTGAAGACAGGTGGTCCGACTCCAGAACTTGCTCCCACCCCTCAGTAAGCCTCACAGTCATTGTGCAAAGGAGGAATTTTTACCTCTACAGATTTTGAAAAAAAAACAATTGAGGCTCAGAGAAATCCGACCACTTGCTCAAGTAACACAGCTTGCACTGGTGGGGTCAGGAGTCAGACCCAAAGCCGTATCCCCCAGACCTCAGTTAGCAGCAGGGACTTAACTTCTCTCTGAATCTTTCAGGATGCCTAACCCTATATGGAATGTCTGTTTAAAGAACAGTATTATTACTAATCCTACTAATAATGTGAGAACACTGTGGGGCTTATCTCCCATTTACCTCTCCCAGGAAGTTAGCAAACTGTAAACTAAGGAGGGAGACGTGGGAGCAGGGAGCCAGAAGCCCAGCCCTAGAGAAGAGTAGATGGAAGTCTCAGGACAAAGCCTGTTATGGAAGCCAGAGCAGGACAGGGAACTTTGGGTGGGTGGTCTTCATGGGGAAACCCTACAAATCCAACACAGGAATCTGGGAGGACGTAGGAAAGATGTTATGTGAATTTGCCTCTAGCACTGGGGGGCTCAGATGTTTTTCAATGTGGGGCCCAGGGTTATGACATCACTGCCCTAGAGAAGGAAGCGTGACCCTAGCGGTTCATGGTTCCACAGGTAATGTTCCCACAGGAATCAGCAAAATGCTTTCCTCTCACTGACTGCGAGTCATGTTTTTCTTACATTTTAGCACCTGGGAATAAAACGCATCTTCCAATCAATGGTGTGTCATAGCTTAATTAGTTGTTTGTTTGTTTGTTTGTTTATTTATTTATTGGATAGGAACTAAGGGCGCCCCCTACACACCGCAGCACGCTGGACTGGAAGAGCTGAACGCGCCAGGAGCAGCTCTGTAACACGCTCCTACGCAGGCAATCTCTGTAACAGTTCTCCACAGCTGCTGTTATCACCATTTTGCAGACACAGAAACTGAGGCTCAAGGACTAAATGACATGCTCAGGGTGGCTGTCGATGACCTGGCACAGCCAGAAGGAAAACCAGGCATGACTTCAAAGGTCGTGCCCTCGCTGCACCTCCACATTTATCAGGGGCGTACCAAGCAGAATAAAAACCTGCCGGACCTGAACCACTCAAATCAGGTTGAGGCTGGACGGAAAGGACTTCCCAGCTCCTCCAGGAACCACCTACCTCGCCCGCCCTCACCTGTGCTCTCTGACCACCTCTATTATACCTTCTTACGACGCATAACTTAATAGTGCCTTCATCACCCTCTCCACCCCTATGGTGGCCCACCGCTGTTCCTGCCGCAGCAGGAGCTCCATGTCTGCTGGAAGGAGTAGGGTCTCTTAAGTCGAAAGAGAAGACGAGAAATGCACATATAACTAAATAAGGACAAAAGCTGTGTTACCCGAGCAGCACAAATAAAGTGCATTGGAATTTCAAGAGGACAGAAACAATGATAGCAAGTGCATGTCGTGGGGAGACGACAGTTCAGCCACCTTCCAGGTTTACACACACACAAAATCTGGCGGAAACCAGGCAGCTGAGACATTTTCTTTAGACGATACAGCAGTTTTTAATTTTAATGAACTACCAGCACTCGTAATTGAACTTTCCCATTACATCAGGCCTTCTGGATTTTCCTGGAAAACGGGGCGACGTTGGAAACGGGGCGCTGGATCTTGCAGGGGGACTGGTTGCCTGTCAGTGCCCACTCCTTCATCCTAGCACCTCCCACCACTGACCCACGGCCAGCCTGCAGAGCGCATTGATTGATCTGTGCCTTCCGCAGACACCAGGGTTCAGGGTTGCGTCTCGGACACCCCACCCCCTGCTCCGTGTGTGTTCCCGTCTCCCCCAGAAGCGCTGCTCCTCGGAGTCGCTGCGGCCACTGCTCCTGCTCGCTGTCTCCGACCACTCCGTCCGCTGGGCCGCCGCGGGCCCCCGGCGCATACCTCTAGATCCCTAAATCACACTGTGCGCGCACAGCATCCCTCCCTCGCTAGGGCCACAGAGCGCGGGTGCGCACGACCTCCGCGGCGTCAGCAGGCATGCAGTACGTGCCGTAGGCGTTGGTGGAAGTCGGTCTCTCCACTTTGCAGCAAACGCTGGCTGCACTACCTAACCGGCCTCAGAGGTGAGGCCGAGGCAGAGCGCAAACAAATCCAGACGCGTGGTTTCCGGCCCCCAGAAAGCGCGCCCGCAATCGCGACTCAGCGCCCAAGACCAGGTCCCGCGGGACCGGGTCCCTTGGTCCCACTCCAGCTCTCGCGAGACTCGCCAGAGCCCGGCTGGTTTTCCCTTGTTTCGCGCGGCCACGCCCCTCTCCGGAAAGTGCTTTACGGACGCTGTGCCCCGGAAGCGGAAGTGTGACTCCCAGGCTGTCAGAGTCGCGGAGTTACTCGGGGGTCCTTAGTCCAGGGAAACCGTCTCTCGCTGCATTCTCAGTGGCCGTGGAGCGCTTCCCCCGGCGGGTGGAAGTGCAGAACCGAAAGTGCGAGATGAGCACCATGTTCGCGGACACGCTGCTCATCGTTTTTATCTCCGTGTGCACGGCTCTTCTCGCCGAGGGTGAGGGCGGCTGCTTCCCTGACGTTGAGCTGTCCCCGAGGGAAGGGTCCCAGTCCAGGGGTTCCTTGAGCCACCGTGGGACAGGTCGCCAGCCTTGTTTGCTTGGGGGCTCCACCTGCTTTAGCCCAGGAAACCTCGGGGCGGCTCGTGCGCAGGGGCGGGCGAGGTCGTGTGCGCGCGACAGCCGGGCGTCTCTGGTCACGGTCGTGTTTGCGGAGACACTTTGACACCACGCTCCAGGTGCTTTGGTTGAAGCAACAGTTGTTGGGACCTTTGCAAACATGTCTCCATATAGCACGTCGCTGTTCACATTGCAGGCATCACCTGGGTCCTGGTGTACAGGACAGACAAGTACAAGAGATTGAAGGCGGAAGTGGAAAAGCAGAGTAAAAAACGTGAGTATGGCAGCTTCCTTTCAGAAGTAGTTTCAGTGGGCCAAGTGCATGAAGCACCTACTTGCAGTGGGTGTTTGAGAAGCACCAGCTGATGGGAGCACCGAAGAGGGATGCAGGGACGATCCAACTCGAAGTCTAGTTAGGAATAGACTTTCGTGCAGAGTATCCCAATGTGACAGGTACGTGTTAGGGGCGGTGGAAGCCTTTTTGATGCAGGCAGCCGCGTGGGTGGTTAGAATTTGCAGGGGGAATGATATGGGGGAAGGAAGTCCAGACAGAGGTCGTGGCAAAAGTGCAGAAAGAGGGGCATGTTAAGGACTAAGGTGTTTTTGGCAAACAACAGTTCCTTACGATTGGCATCAAGGTAAGTGGTGTCCTGGGGGATAAGTCATGTTCTGGTTGGTTGAAGGCATGTTTGACAAAGAGGTTAAGAACAAGTCTTGTTTGTTGCCTTTGAAATGAAGCAGGAATTTCCAGGGGACACTGCCAAGGGGGCTGCTGGAGGTTTAGTGAGTATTGTTCTCAGGAGTTCTGTTTGGCTATCTGAGTTCTTTTCTGTCTTATAAAGATTAAAGCTAACTTTTGCATCTAAAATTCCTATGGCTTCCTGTGTTCTGGGACTTTTCTTTCTGTTTTCATAAGAGTTTGACGCGTTTTACTTCTCACAGCATCTCCTTTGACCCACCTGGCAACCGTGTGTGGTCAGCTGTGTGAATGTCGCCTCCTTTGCAGAGAAGGAGGTGGGGGCTTAGCAAGGTTGAAGGACATGTGCATGTCACAGGAGACAAAGGATCAGCGGACAAGTCAGGCTTTTTAAGTTGCAGCTTCCTCTTCCTTCGCTTATTTATCACTGACAGTGCCCCTCAGTGGTTCTAAAAGCAGGTTCCTTGGCTTTACCTGCCCAGGTATGACCCTCCCTCAGGAGTTCCCTGTCTGGGGAATGTCGCAGGCCTGGGCCCTATCTTCACTGGGTTCCAGGACGCCTCGTTCCTTGGTCTTGCTCTCATCTGGCTGGTTGTTCTCTTGCAATTTCCTTGGGGGTTCCTCTTCTCACTCCCTGTTGTTGGGTGGTCCCATATTTTTTCTGTAGATAGCGAGGATCCCGTTTGTCTTTGCACCTCCCCAGAATGGCGCCTGTCAGGTGGGCGGCTGACCGCTGACCAGCTGACCCTGCCCCTGCAGTGACAGTGAGAATGTGGCTACCAGGACCAGAGTTCTGTGCCAAGGCCTGAAAGCTGAGCTTGCTGGTCACATCCCCGCAGCCCCCTGGCGGGTGGTCTGCAGTCCCCATGCAGACCCCGCCCATGTCCTCCTGCAGTCCTTTACGGGCCCTGGAGTGAGGGCGCCTGCTCCATGGCCAGTATGCGTGGGCCTAGAGCGTGGGGCTGCCTTTCCCCACCAGCAGGCTCGGGGTCGGACCAGCTGGCTCAGTCCTGACCACAACCAGAGTGGGCAGGGGACCTAAGCCTCTGTCACGGATTCAGACTTTGTTTCTTTAGCCTGACGCACAGTTAATTTTCACCATGTTCCTCTGTGTTTACAGTGGAAAAGAAGAAGGAAACAATCACCGAGTCAGCGGGCCGGCAGCAGAAGAAGAAGATAGGTAAGTCGAGGCCCTGGTGGACGCGAAATGCGGGTGCTCCGGAAGAGGCGAGTTCTGAGCGGCTGAGGCTGTAACAGCGGCATTGACAGCGGGCCCTCGTGTGAACCCGTCAGCGGCCCTCCGAGCACTGGCTCACCCTGCCTTTCTCGCTTCTCTTGACCATTTGGTGGGTCAAGTTCGAGAGGTTGCTCCTTGTGCTCTCTCAGCTTTGAAACGTCAGCTTCAGGGGAAGGGTGTTGGCAGCTGCAGCTTTTGAATTTGGCTGAGGTTTCCTGGCCTTGTTTGGGAAACATACTGTGTCTCGTGTCTGGGGCGATCGTTTCCAGCCTAGTCTGCATCACCTGCATTTGTCACCGCAGTGGCTTCCTCCCCAAGGGTTCACGGGGGATGGAAATCCACAAGGGCGGAGGTTTTCTGCTGAGTAATTCTCATCTCATCTGAAAACCGGCGGTGTGACTTTGGCTTTTGGTGTATTTTAGAATTTAATTACCAAATGTAGTTCTCTTCCAAAAAGACAACTTATAAATGACTGGACGTGATTTGTGTTTATGATGCTTCCCGACTCGGAAACGAGGGGGAAATGGTGTGTTCGGTTCAGACACTGTCTCTCTGTGTAGGTCACTGCTGTTCTGTCCCAGGAGAGAACTCTGCCAGGCTGGATGGTGCCAGCATCCTCTTTGGATGAAAGCTTTTCAGTTTAGTGTGGGGGTCTCAGGGGTCTTCCAAGGGGCCTGCGTGCTTAGTTCCATGCCCAGATTCTGCTGTGCGTCTACTGTGTGGGGTCGGTCACCCTGGAGAGACACTGGGAGATGCGGGTGGTAGAGAGGGCGGGGGATGGGAGAAGCGCAGGGCTCTGGTCGGAGGAGTAGCAGATTGGGGCGGGCAGGAGGAGAGAGGATGGCCTCCGGTCCCAGCACACTGGGCTCAGTGTGACTGTGGGGGCGGACGTTGGACGCACCATCGGGTGGTGGCTTTGGAGCTGGCAGAGGGAGAAAGGCTGCAAGGGTGTGTTGGAACCGTAGGCTGATGACTAGTAGTTGAGTCCACGGGGCAGACAAGACCCCATGGGGAGAGCGCGTGGTGGGAGTGACGCCACGGCTGAGGGCCGGGGGCTGGAGGGCACGGTCTGCAGAGACAGACGTGGAGCTATGTCTCGGGACGATGTAATGTTGCTCCTTCACTGTCACCTGGACATCGGCACCCTGAGGCCCGTGGTGAACAACTCACCTGGGTGCAGGCTGCCTGGCACTGCCTCCGGGTTTAATACAGGGGTTCTGCTGTGTGCAGAGGTGAGACAGCCGGGAGGGAGTGTTCAGAACTGAAACTCGAGCCCCCTGCCGGGCGGCTCAGTTGGTTGGAACACCATCCCACGCCAAAGGTTGCAGGTTCGATCCCCATTCAGGGCACATGCAGGAGGCAACTGAACGATGTATCTCTCACACATCAATGTCTCTCTTTGTCTCTTTTCCTCTCTATCAAATCAGCGAACACATCCTCAGGTGAGGATTAAAAAAAATTAACCTTGAAAGATTTTCATGTATTTAAATTGAAATAGTTTGGTGCTCTGCTGCCGACAAATCCTCTGTTAATAACGAGGACACAGTGTGCCCGGTAATCAGTGGGTCTCGTTAAAATAGGCGAGAGAGGTGTGGAAGTGTTTTTGAAGCCCGAGTCAGCGGTGGGCACACCTGTGCGGCGCTCGGTGCCCTGCCCTAACCACTTCCGTGTCCCTTCCAGAGAGGCAGGAGGAGAGACTGAAGAACAACAACCGAGACCTGTCCATGGTAAGAGTCCTACAGCCGCCTTCCCAGTAAGCCACACGCTGTCTTTTTAGCAAAAGACCCTGATTGACATCAAGGACACCACACTTACCTGTGCAGAACTGTGAAGTCTCTGCAGGCTGTGCAGTGTTGGGTGTTGCTGGGCGGATGGTGGTGAAGAGGTACCTCGGGGTCAGGAACGGCTCTGTCCAGCAGCTGGGCCATCGTTTGTTCCTTGCCCGTGGCTCCGGATTGGGCCCTGGGTTTAGGGTCTGCTCCTTCCTCATGATAAGGCTGCCTCTCCGGGTGGGGGCCTAGGACCCCAGGGTGGGGGCGGAGCATTACAGAGGGCCTTCCTTGCGCCCTTTGCCCTCGGAGCGGTCTCTGTCCCGAGGGGCAGGCGTGCCGTGTGAGGCCAGGGGTCCGTGACCGCTCACTCGCTGTCTGTAAGGAGTGGTTTGCTCAGCATCTCTTTCGAAGGCGGAGGTGGGCTGGTGATAGGGCGTGACCACTTTTCCCTCTGAATTTCTGAGCATCTCACGGGGGGCGTCTGGACTCGGCCACAGTCGTTTCTTGGTTACTGAGAGGCCTTTTGTAGATTTCTTTATCTTGAAATTCTTGCTAAGAAGATTGTAATTTAGAGGTACAATAAAAATAACTTTTTATTGACACAATTATTACCTGTTTACCATGTAGTAAATTTGGGTAGTTCCCAAATCTGGAAACGACCAGAAGTGGAGATAGAGATGCAGCCACAGCAACTGTTAACGTCACACCTTTATGATCTGCTAATTACACCTTTACGACATGGTGATTAAGAAAGAAGTTGGCTGGAGGGGCATGGGGCCTGGCACATGGGTGCCGGCGCCTCCCTTTTCAGAGTCCCGGTCCCACTTGTGCTTAGCACTCAGCAGCCGGAATTGGGTGTCAGGGCCGCTCTGGGGCAGGTGCCCAGCAGGCAGCCAGGAGAAGAGGGCTGGCAGGCGAGCGCGGTCGGCCGGCAGACGGCCTTCAGCTGAGCAGCGCCTTCAGAAGTGTGGCGTGGAAGCAGAACTCTGGTGGTGTGCCCGGTGGCGGCGGCTGCGCAGGGTGGAGTGAGGCTGAGTGTGTCCTTGCAGGTCCGCATGAAGTCCATGTTCGCCATCGGCTTCTGCTTCACCGCCCTGATGGGGATGTTCAACTCCATGTGAGTACCTCCTGCGCGGCTCCGCCTGCCAGCTGCTCCCAGCGTCCCGGCACAGCCCTGTGACCCCCCCCCCCGCCCCGGCTGGGTGCACGCACCGGTCTGAAAGGGCTCCAGATGTGTCTTTTGTCCAGGACCCCGAGGCTGCAAAAATTAGGACTCACTGGTTCAGAGAAAGGAGCGGCCCGCGTCCTCCCTCACCTCCTGTGCAGGCCTCGTTTCAGCCTGTCAGCGTCTCTGCTTTCTAAAGGTCAAGGGCCTGGAAGCTCTGTTTTGGCCCCGGGCTCTTCTCTGGAACTAAGAAGCTTGCCAGTCATCCACAGACAACAGGCCTCTGTGTTCTCCTTTCCAGATTTGATGGCCGAGTGGTGGCCAAGCTGCCCTTCACCCCGCTGTCCTATATCCAGGGCCTGTCGCACCGGAACCTGCTGGGGGACGACAGCACCGACTGCTCCTTCATCTTCCTGTACATCCTCTGCACCATGTCCATCCGGCAGGTGAGGGTCGGGCCCCTGCTGCTGCCGCATTTCGGGGAACAAGAGACCTCGCACGGCGTGGGATGTCGCCCAGCCTCTGGGTGTGGTCGGCTGGGGGCTCTGGTGGCCCCACCTGGGTTTGTGCAGGTGTCCTCTCCGAAGGTCAAAGGGGACGCAGGCGCCTGAGGACGTGATCCTCAGAACGTGCCTGTCAGTAAGCACCGAGTGACGGCGTGTCCTCCCTGGTTTCAGGGCCTGCGTCGGCCCTTGCTCCGTGATAGCAGCTGTACTCTGTGGCCCCGGGGGTCTTTCGCTCGCTTGTTCTAGGGCCCCAGTGTCCCACACTCAGGGGAAGGCCTTCCTTCCAGACACAGCTAGTGAGTGAGCTTTAGACGCTTTGCGCTGAAGCTAAAGATGCCTCTTTTTATGGTTCCCCACGGGGAAAGACCAACTCCCCCAGTTTGTGGATGGGAGCCCGGTCAGGTACCAGGGCTTCTGTCTGTGGCCTCCGCCGCATCCTGGGCCTTTCAGGAAGTCACGCGGCAGCCGTTGCCCTGCAGGAGCTCACCCAGGGACGCCAGTCCGGGGGCCTCTCCTCCTGTGGGGGCTGTGTTGCGCGCCCTTCTGCCGCTCGTGGTGAATCCAGTGTCTGCTCCGTCTTCCTCACAGAACATCCAGAAGATCCTGGGCCTTGCCCCTTCTCGAGCTGCCACCAAGCAGGCTGGCGGGTTCCTGGGCCCCCCGCCCCCCTCTGGGAAGTTCTCCTGAGGCCGAGAAGAACCCTGTAGTTCCCACCACTTTTACAGGTGCTCAGAGGAGACCAGCAGCTGTTTCCTAGCCAAGCCATAAGCAGCCTCCACACTCGGGCCACTTTTCTAGTCCTGTTCTGGGGCATTGGGGATGGGATTTGAATGAGAGCAGCACCGGCAGACTCAGTGCGCTGGGGCCCAGGGCCAGGCCTCCAATCAGCGAGTTGATCAGAGAAGTCCCGGCGCCGCTGCTGCCGTGCACACCTGCCCGCTCGCTCACGTGGCCCCTCTCCATGGCTCCGAGGCTCTGTGAGCCTGCAGGCCGGTCCTCCCCGAGCACCCAGCAGGTGGGAAGACAAGCACACTTTCCTCTGGTTAGCGACTCAATTGGAACTGATTGTCCTCTGTGGTTTTTAAACATGGGACCTGCAATCAATAAAGAGGCCAAAACTGTCGCTGTCTCACCTGCAGGGAGAGAGCTGTGTTGTTCTGCCGCCTTTGTTCATACCTGTGTTTAGTCCTCTGAACGTGGAGGTAGACGCTGGTCAGGGAGAGCTCGGCTACATGTGTCTGACGTCCCGTCTTGTCATGTTTGTCCCCTGTGTGCCAGCCATGCAGCTGTCCTGCCACAGGGCCTAGAGAGCAGGTGGGGACTCGCAGGGACAGAGACGTGCGGGCCCTGGCCACCCCGCCCCGGCCGCCCGCTGGGCTCTCACGCAGGGGCCCGCAGCAAGGCTGTGACGCACACTCACAGTGAGCCGCTCTAACCACTGGCCCTGTTTTCAACATGTCCAGACCGGCCATCTGGACGACATCAGACCAGACCGTCACTGAAGTATTTGCGCTGACGTCCCAAGCCAGAGAGCCCACGTTCCGTTGGAACATGGGGTTTGGCTGCTTTGCCTGGGTGAAGGATGGCCTGTCCCCTTTCTAGTTAAGAAGAAGACGAGAAGCCCAGGCGTCACCGAGCCTGCATCAGGCTGCCGGGTGCACTCGTAGCCTGCCGAGGCTGTGCCATCTCATCAGCCCGGCACACCCGAATTCCTTCGCGGGGTTTCCTAGGTCCCCGACCCGAGCCCGATGAGACTGGACGGCGCGTGGGTGTCTGTGCTCCTGCCCCTGGCCGGGCTGCGGGCCCTCCCCCCGGGGGCTGCCCTCTGCAGTGCGTCGGGCTGGAAACGAGCACCCAGAGCCCCCGGGCCCCCGGCCAGAGTCACAGCTGCGCACTGGTGTGCCGTCGGGTGTGTCGTAGACGTGACGCCTCTGTGCGCCCCACACTGCCCTCCAGCACAAGTGTGAGGCCCAGGCACTTTCCATTTGGACGGACGGCCACAGACCAGACCATTACCGAATTGGACTAATTCTGCTTTAAGTTGCAGTTATTTCAGTTTGTTGTTTGCTTTGAGTTTTTAAAGTTTTAGAATGAAAGAACCTCACACACAAATAAAAGATTTTAGAAAGTATGGTATAAAGAACACCCAGGTACCCACTGTGTAGCTTGAACACTGACTCCTGGTCCGTCTGGTGTCCCGGGCGTCATGCCGTTTACCCTTAACTGTTTGGGGGCTTCCACACACATGTATGATCTCATTACTCCTGACATTCCTGCAGATGGACAATCTGATATCATAAGTTGTCAGCAGGTATCAGAACTCACTGTGTTTCTTTGGGACGGGAGCCAGCCAGGAGAACCACATCGCCGTTGGTGGATGACGGTATAAACCATGTCCCGTCTGTGGTGGCGGCTGTTCAGATGGAGAGGCCGCAGGCTTTCCTTGGAGGGTCCACCCGGAGTGTCCGGCCCCAGGCTGCGGGCCCCTCAGACAAGTTCCGAGCATGCGCGCTGCTGCAGGTCTGGGGCCCGCAGGCTCTGCAGCGGCCCCGCCTCCCTCTCGCTGCCCCCACCCCAGCGGTGTCGGGCCTGAAGAGCCTTCCCTGTGTACCCTGTCGGGTTTTGTGACTGCAGGCCTGTTTTCCATACTGTCGTCAGCTTTCCCTTTTTGATTCGTTGACCTCTGGGGGGGGCCGAGAAATCGGGGTGCACAGCCGCCACGGGGTTCCCTGGCGGTGAGTGAGTGTGTTGGACAAGGCAGAACAGGTGCCCGACTGTCAGGTTGTCAGAATGACGGGTGCTCACTGGTTCCTCCCCGGTGAGCAATTAATGTGTGAGCATGTGACGGGAAGCGCATAGATTTAAACACACTTGATTCGCTTCAGTCCACAGGAACTATTTCGTGGTGGGTGCCCCGGTGCAGGCTCTTTAGTGGCTCCCGGGCCCTCTGAAACGGCCCTCCTTGTCACTGGTGGCATCTTCACTGCCTGGTGTGAGCAGTCCCAGGGGCTGCGACCACAGGCGGTGCCTCCTCCCAGGAGGCCTGGTTGCTTCGGCTGGTACTCGGCGGCTCAGGAACGGAGTTCGTTCCCAGAGACTCTGCTGCAGGGTTCCCAGGCCTGCCTGGGGAAATGCGTCAAGAACTAATGCCGATGCTCTTCTCGCCACTCAAATTCAGGGCTACAGAGTCTTTTACTTAATTTCTTTGACCTGTGTCTCTTTTATCTGATGCTAAAAATACTAGTTTTCAGTCCCAGGAATGATAGAAGTAAAATATCACATAATTACTTATTAGCATAACCCCAGAATGTCCATTCCAAAGTCTCAGAATATCAGTACCAGCATTCATACTGACAATATGATTGCTGAAAACATTTGGGGTGCTTTGGGGGAGGTGGGTAGAATTAATGTGAATAATTAATGTGGGTAGAAAATTTTTATTTACTTATTTATGTATTTATTTTTAGAGAGAGGAGAAGGGAGGAAGGGGGAGCGAAACATCAATGTGTGCTTGTCTCTCATGCGCCCCCGACTGGGGAACTGGCGCACAACCCAGGCATGTGCCCTGAAAAAACAGCAGACATCCGAATGGGCTTCCTGGCTATCCCCAAAGTGCATGTAACCTGCACAGGGGTGGGCCCCTGGCTGCCCCTTGTCACCTTGCTCTTTCTTATGCATGCCACCTGAGACCGCGTTTTAGCCCCGCCCACTTAAGGCTAGCCTCCAGCGGCCCCGCCCACACGCGGGGGGTCCCTCTAACCTCGGCCCCGCCCCCACGCCAGGCCCCGCCCCACGTGAGGTCTCGCCCCTCCCCTAGGGCACGCCCGCAGCTATTTCGCGCCCCTGCCCGCACCCTCCTGCCGTATGTTGCTACGGGTCGGCCTGGCAGCGCTTCTCCGGCCGCTGCGCACTCTCGGGCCCGCTTCCGTCGCCTCCATGAGCACCGGCACCTTCGTCGTTTCGCAGCCGCTCAACTACCGCGGCGGAGCCCGCGTGGAGCCGGCGGACTCCTCGGGCACCGAGAAGGCGTTCGAGCCGGCCACCGGTAACGGGGCGCGGGGGCCGGGGCCGGAGTGGGGCCTGCCCAGCGCGGCCTGCGGGGTAGGGGGCGGCGCGGGGCCTGGAGCGGCCCGCAGCCCCGCCGCGCAGCCGCTGCCTGTTAATGATTACCGCCCAAAACCAGGCCGGGGCGGAAGGGGGCGGCGCGGGGGAGCAGGGGACCCAGGCGCGGGGACCAAGAGGCGCCCTGATGACGCTGTCGGTCCCTCTTCAGAGTTAAACTTTCTGTGCGTGAATCCGAGTAGGGCTGAACGGGTGCCCAGCACTGCTTGGGGGACAAAGCTAGGGAGCGAGAGGTTTCCCGTTGGTTTGGTTTGCTGGGTTTTGTGGATTACTTGCGGGGCGTGCAAACCAGAAAGGTCTGTAGTCCGAACGCCGAGTCAGCTTGCAGGGGGTTGAAGGGCAGGGACGCGCCCATCTCACCGAGCCACTGAGCAGGAAGAGGCCTGGGCACCAACACCCTCCGTAAGGAGGAAACAGCCATCCACCCGCATCCCCTCCGCCCCCCAGATGAACACAAGCCCCAACCCTCCCCAGCCCCATGGACAGGAAAGCGGGTCAAACTGGCTCTCTGTGTTAATCCCCTGCCCCTGTGGTGTGTGTGTGCCCCATCGCCTTGCCTTCACTGGCTGGCTGCCAGACTTTGTAACAAATTGCATGTTTGTGCAACAGATTGCAGGTTTGTGCAGAAAAGCAGAGGCCCTGGAGTTCTTGTGGGAGGGACCGAGAGGCCAACTTGGCCCACCCAGTTGGTGGGTCCCAGCCACCCAGATAAGGGGCTAGGATAGTATTTTGCCCCAGAACAGGGTCAGGGAATAAGGTGGGAGTGAAAAAAGGAAGGGGCTTGAAAAGATATGTATTCAAGGGGAAAAGTAAACTTGGTTGCGTTCAGGGAGACTTTTCCTGGCATTGCTGTTTTTATTCACTGTCTCCATCGAGGGTTAGCATCAGCGTCAGCACCGTGAGAGGATTTATGTGGAGCCAGGCCAGGGACTTACAGTCAGAATCCATAACCCAGGAGGTTGAGCACAGCACTTCCTTGTTGGTTTTGCAGGGACCCTGTGCTTCTCACACACTGGAAATGAGTGTGGCAGAGGAATCACCAGGAAGTTAGTGTCAGCAAACACACCTGTAAAATAGAGGCAGGGAAGAGGGTGCTTCATCTTCCGCCCAGGTGTGCTCGGGGCAACAGTCATGATCTCCCCAAATGCGTGATAAAATCACGTCCCTCTGCAGAGACATGTGGGGCTTTTATTAGAGTCTTAATGGGGGCCAGTGACCCCAAAACAAAGTTAGGAGCTGCTGGGGTAGGGGTGGTCACTAAGTCACCCCACACTGAAAGACAAGAAGGGGCTCTGTCCTGTAGCCGGTCAAGGCCGGGTGGGTTCACGGTGGGGCGGGGGGGGCTCAGGCAGACGGCACGAAATTGGAGGGGCTGTAGGGATGTCCGACAGGCCTTCATTCGGGGAAAGGTGGGGCAGCCCATGCCGGGCGTCACACGGCAGGAAGTCACGACTCCCTTACATACTAAATGTGCATGAAGCCAGCTGGATGCCAGAACGTTATAGAACAGAGCCCAGTACTGTGCGTGCAGGGCCCGTGCTCCAGGTTACATGGACAGGGCTCAGTCACAGCCGCCCGGACATCTGGGTGAGGGAGCCTGGCCGACTCCATTTTCCCTGCAGGAGCCCCGAGAGCAACCTGGGGTACACAGTAGCTTGTTTCACTGTGTGCCGTGGTGTGAGCGAACCCTTGTCCTCTGTCTGTCTCCAGGCCGGGTGATAGCGACTTTCACATGCTCAGGAGAAAAGGAGGTGAATTTGGCTGTTCAGGATGCAAAGGCCGCCTTCAGGACGTGGAGGCAGAAGTCTGGCCTGGAGCGGGGTCGCATCCTTCTGGAGGCTGCCCGGATCATACGGGTGCGTTCATTCCCTTCCTGGGCCACAGGCCGTGGCTCGGAGGGTTGTTTCAAGATTCCACCTCTCAGAGAAAACTCAGTTTGCTGGCCGGCCTTTGAGGTTTTTCCCGTTTTATTCCATCATTCTCCACCCTTCCAGAAAGGTGATTTGTAAAAGATCACCGGGAGATCTGTCAATACGAGGATCCTCCAGAAACGTCCCTCACAAAAACTAGCAGGGAGTCCAAGTGGGTCCCCGCTGAGGGCGGACGCACCGACTGGCCCGGGATCCCCGAGTGGGAATCAAGCCAGCAACCCTTTGCTTCGCAGTCCAGTGCTCAGTCCACTGAGCCACACCAGCCAGGTCCCATTCCCCTTATTTTCATTTAGACGAAAGCTGTTTCTGTCCTTCCCACCTGGGCCCCACTGTCCGTCTGCGGGTGCCCTTGGTTCCTTCCGGTGCGTGGCAGCGTGTCTGAAAGCACGCCTCTGCTTGGCCGCAGGAGCGGAAGGACGAAATCGCCACCATGGAGACCATCAACAACGGCAAGTCCGTCTTCGAGGCCCGCTGGGACATCGACATCTCCTGGCAGTGCCTGGAGTACTACGCAGGCCTGGCCGGCTCCATGGGCGGTGAGCCTCGCCTGCCTTCCGAGAGCAGCTGCTGAGGGCTGGAGGGCAGAGCCCAGGGTGCAGGGCAGAGGGTTCAGGAGTGAGGCAGGTCTGGGTCGCCCCCCCGTTTCACGTCGTCTGGGCGGCTCCCGGGGGCCCAGTGGGTTTAGAGAACGCTGGGTGGATAGGAGGGCCAGGATGTAGTGTGTGCCGAGGCTGTGCCGGAGCCGACGGGGACGTTGAGACCTGACAGGCCAGTGCAGCCGGGCGGCCGTGGGAGCAGCCAGGGCGGGTCGAGGACCTGGCCTGGGGAACAGCAGGCCTGCCTCTTCCTCACTCCGTCTTCCCCGCAGGTGAGCACATCCAGCTCCCGGGCGGGTCCTTCGGCTACACCAGGCGGGAGCCGCTGGGCGTGTGCGTGGGCATAGGGGCCTGGAACTACCCCTTTCAGATCGCCTGCTGGAAGTCGGCCCCGGCCTTGGCTTGTGGTAAGAAAGAACCGTCCCTCCGGTGCGAGCCTGCCGGCGTCCCCCTCACTTCTGCACACACACACACCCACCCGTACTCACGTATACACACTTGTTCTCGCTCATACACACTGATATACACACGTGAGCACTTCACATCAGGAGGCCATGCCAGGCGTTTGAAGCCTCAGAGGACATGTGCCCTCTTCCTGCCTGGCCCTGCGGGGGCTCACACTGCAGGGGGTGCCCACAGGCGCCCGCCAGGTCGCTCCTGGTGGTTCGTCTGACTCTTTTCTGTTCCCGGGAAGGAAGGCGGTCAGTGCAGGTGCCCGAGGCTTGTTCTTACTTAGGAGTCCAATCGCGTTAGGCGTGCGCTCCTGGGAAGTGCCCCTTCTTCCTGGACGTGGGTTTCCGTGCGGGGGCGGGGGGGGGGCTTGGGAACCTGACTTGGCTCAGGGAGCAGAGGCGAGCTTCCACCTCCATCCGCATGCGGGGAAATGGCGCCCACGGCCCCCGTCACGGGTGCTTTGGCCGGCGGGCCTCACAGGGGTCCTCTTCCTGTATGAAGACAGGAGCCTGTGGGGTGGGCGACTCCGTCTCAGACGCCTGTGAGTGTCCACAGGATGTGGCGCTGAAACGCAGCCCTCCCCCTTCTGCATGTCCCTGAGTCACAGGTGTCCCTGGCTTTGGGGACTGGTCAGATTCGTTGGCCTCTCTGGGCTCCAACGTCAGCAGTTGTGAAACAGCCCTAATCTGACCGCCTCCTCTGGCTGGCGCAGGTGTCAGGTGTGGGGCCGCTGGTGGCTGCGTGAGATGTGGGGGGCCTGTCCGATGAGAGAGGCCGGGGGAGGAAGGCGATGCGCCTGCTGAAGGAGGAGGACTTGGCGGCACAGAGGGCAGCCCACCCGTGTGTGTGCTGGGCTTGTGCAGGAAACGCCATGGTCTTCAAGCCGTCCCCCTTCACGCCCGTGTCCGTGCTGCTGCTGGCCGAGATCTACACCCAGGCCGGGGTGCCCCCCGGCCTCTTCAACGTGGTGCAGGGCGGGGCCGCCACGGGCCAGTTCCTGTGTCAGCACCGCGATGTGGCCAAGGTCTCCTTCACTGGAAGTGTGCCCACTGGCGCAAAGGTGAGGTCCCCCGGGCTGTCGCTGTGAATGGCACCCCGCGCCTGCGGCAGGGGCCTGACTTCCAGTCTTTCCCGGCTTGTCTGGGAGGGAGGCTGTGGGGGTCCCCGAGGTGAGGTGTGGACAGACGTCACTGCCTCCCGTGTCTCGGGGCGGGCCCCCGGGCTGCCACTGTGTGGGTGGACGACTCAACTCGTCTGGAGCAGCCGTCGCGGAAGGAAAGGCATTCTCTCAGCTTACTTCACATTCATGGCTTTGACCTTAATTCGTGCTCTGACAGTACCGAGGGTTGGCCTTGGGTCCTCAGCGGTTTTCAGATGAGTTCCCCCTCCAGATGTCGAGAGCATCCTGTGGGTTCCCTTCAGCGCCCTGGGGAAGAGTATGGACAGAGCACAGCGAGTGTCCAGAACAGGGCCGCGTGGTCCATGGCGGCGACTCCGGAGGCCCCGGGCCGAGGCCACTCAGCGTGTGTCTGTTCCTCTGTTCCGTCAGGTCATGGAGACGTCGGCGAAGGGGATCAAGCCGGTCACCTTGGAGCTCGGAGGCAAGTCTCCGCTGATCATCTTCTCAGACTGCGACCTGGAGAACGCAGTGAAGGGGGCGCTGATGGCCAACTTCCTCACGCAGGGCGAGGTGCGTGCGCCCCGGGAAAGGGCGGCGGGGGGGCGGGCAGCCTTTGTCTGCAGGTGGTCTCGGCCCCCAGACGGCTCGCACTCGCTTTTGAGCCGGGCCCCTCCCTCGGCCCTGTTTCCTTGAGTTCACTTGGTGGCCCTGGGTCTCTCTGCCGTGTGTGCTACTCTCTTCGTGAACTGTCTGAAAGTCGCAGCCATGACGTCCCCAACCCTAAAGACTCACGCGTTTCCTGAAAATGAGTGTGTTCTCTACCTCGGCAGGACGCACTTTGGAAAACCACCAGTGTGATGGCCCAGTGCTCCCGCCTTGGTCACGTTCCGCCGTTCGTTTGGCTGCTGACCTTTCGGCAAAAGCAAACAGTTTGCTGTTTGCTTTTTGGGCTACGCAGATCTGTGAAAAAATAAACCTAACGATGAGGAGTTCGTATTTCTTACAGTTCCTCCTGTGTTCAGCCCCAGGGCGTAGTTCAAGTTCCATGTCCTCAGAATGTCGTGGGCCCAGTTCTGCCTCTGCCCCGCCTACCCTGCGGTGTGGTGTTTACTTAAGGAACAAGTTTATGTAGTTCTTTTTACTTTCATTTGAGGTTTATTTTCCCCGCCCTGCTGATTTTAAAGTCTCACTTGATTGTAATCATGGGAAATACCAACATGGTTCTAACAGGCAGGGTTTTGCAAAAAGCCACCCAGAAACGCCAGTCTTCCGAGTTGCTCCCAACCGGTTCATTACCGGCGCCCAGAGGCTGCCGCCTCATCTGTTTCTGATTTTTCCTTCCTGTGTTTCTTTCTACGCAAGTGAGCAGGTACTTACATATATACATGTGAAGATCTTTACTTATTTATTCTTATGGGGAAGGGAGGGAGAAAGAGAGGGAGACACATTAATGTGTGAGTGATACATTGATCGGGTGCCTCACAGGTGCCCCCTACTGGGGACCTGGCCCAGAACCCAGACATGTGCCCTGACTCGCAGGCCAGCCCTCAAGCCACTGAGCCACACCAGCCAGGGCTCTCATGTATTTCTTATTTCCTGCCTTTCTTATGCACAGAAGCTGGCATATCGGAGGCCCTTCCTCAAACTTTACTTTCTCAGCTAATATCCGGAAATTCTGGCTCCCCAGTATATAAATCCTTGTGCTGCTGATGGCATTGGAACAGCATTGAAGTTCATGTCTATGGGAGAGTCGGAATACTTGTTAATTGTGGTTTCGTAGGCCAGCATTGGTTACCCAATGCTCTGGCCTTTTATCAGGCTTAAGCCCTGAGTTCTTAACTATTTTTGCTCTGTCCCCTCCCGTTCTTCCCTCCTCCTGTTGAACATGTGTCAGACTGAGCAGCTGCCAGGAGCAAATAGGAGAGGGCCTGAGGGCCGTGGGAAATTTAAACACAGGAAGATGGAAGTTTCATCTCAAAGGGCAGACTGTTGGTGCTTTGGGTGATGTGTTTCCAGTTACATTGTGATCCTCTTCTACGGGGGTAGTTTTCATCCGTGGAAGTAACCTTTACACAAACAGGGTGCATTTTTTGTGCTGGCTGGTGTGCCTCAGTGGATTGAGCACCAGCCTGCAAACCAAAGGGTCTCTAGTTCAATGCCCAGTCAGGACACATGCCTGGGTTGTAGGCCAGGTCCCCAGTAGGGGGCGCCCAAGAGGCAACCACACAGAGATGTTTGTCTCCCTCCCTTTCTCCCTCCCTTCCCATCTCTCTCAAAATAAATAACATCTTAAAAAACAAGTGTAGTGTAATTTTTAAGGTTAAACCTATGGGATTCTCCTCCCTTTTCCTCTTTCCTTCTTTGCACACCGATAATTCGTGTCTGTTTTTCAGGTTTGTTGTAACGGCACAAGGGTGTTTGTGCAAAAGGAGATTCTGGATAAGTTCACAGAGCAAGTGGTGAAACAGACCCAGAGGATAAAAATCGGAGACCCCCTCCTGGAAGACACCCGGATGGGCCCCCTCATCAACCGGCCACACCTGGAGCGCGTCCTTGGCTTCGTCAGGCTGGCCAAGGAGCAGGTGAGGGACTGTGGGGGGCCCTTCTTGGGCCCGGACGCCCTCGGCTCTTGGGGTCTGGGGCAGCGTCCCCATCTGTCCCTGCAGTGGGTGACTCAGTACGCGTTCGTCCAGGAGTGCACAGGGGCTTGCGTGTTCGACATGAGTGAGCATTGTCGTTTCTTTGCAGGGGGCCAGGGTGCTGTGTGGGGGCGACCTGTACGTACCCGAAGACCCCAAACTGAAGGACGGCTATTACATGAGCCCCTGCGTGCTGAGTACGTCCTTCTTCTCGTTTGCTCTCAAACCGTCTGAACTCACTGGCGGGTGGAAAAGAGTTCTTGTCAAGTGTGTGCGCGGGGCCAGGCAAGGGTTGGCAGGTGCTGTGTCCCCGTTACCCCAACTTAAGAAATAGCAGTTCGCCGTCACCTGCAGAGTCCCTGTGCGCCCCTCCCCTGGGACGGCCAGGTGGGTTAGCCCTCTGGGGACTCAGGGCGTCCCCACCTGTTGCCCTGGAAGGAAGGGGCTCAAAGAAATGAACGTGCACGTTTGATGAGAGAGAAAAGTCATGAATTTCATGGCTCCAAAGGGCAGTTAAGAACGCACCTCTCTTTGAACTGTTTCATATCAAGGAAACACTAACTCAGTTATTTCTAAATTTACTTTTCTATTTCTAATTCTGACTAAATCACAGAGTCATTAAGAAAAAAGGAGCCCTGGCAGGTGTGGCTCGATGGATTGAGCTCCAGCCAGCAAACCAAAAAGTTGCTGGTTCTATTCCCAGTCAGGGCACATGCTGGGTTATGGGCTAGGTCCCCAGTAGGGGGCGCATGAGGCAACCACACACTGACGTTTCTCTTCCTCTCTTCCTCCCTTCCCCTCTAAAGGTAAATAAATAAAGTCTTTAACAAATCAAATTTTAAAAGGGGGTTAAGGTATAAAAAGCATTAATCATATATGTAGCATTTTAACAGAAACCGGGATGAGACCTTACTCAGTTTGTTTTCGGTGAATGCTTCCTCATGAGCATTTACTTATGAAATTCTCTCCGACAACGTCACTCGGAGAAGTTTTAGCACAGCTGGGCTGGGCACCTGGTGCCCGCAGTCCTGTCCCCTGTTTGCCAGGCTGCCCCTTCCAGTTGTCACTCTGGTAGGTGACGTGGTGTGACGACTGTCCTGTGTAGGCGTGCCGGTCACCTTGGTAGCTCGTGACGCGTTCAAACGTGGATTTAAAATTAGACAAAGGCCGTGGTGCTGCTGTGCTGTGCAGCTTCCACACAGAAGCGGCGTCCTGACGTCCCCTCCCGCTGGGCGCGTCCTGCAGAGGCGTCTCGGGAGCCTTGCGTTTGACTGCGCACCGGGACACAGAGACCTTCCCAGGAACGCCCGCGCCTCACGAGCCCGGTTCCCTGTGCCCGTGCAGCCAACTGCCGAGACGACATGACGTGCGTGAAAGAGGAGATCTTTGGCCCGGTTATGTCCATCCTGTCCTTCGACACCGAAGCCGAGGTTCTGGAAAGAGCCAACGACACCCCTTTTGGATTGGCCTCCGGTGTCTTCACCAGGTGCGTGGGGGAGGCCCCCCCCCCCGGTCGGAGGGGGACGGGGTCCGAGACACGGGGTCTGCACGCTCTCGCTGCGTTTGCATCGAGCTTCTCGTGAAGGCGGGAGGTGCCCACCTCGAGGTGTGCAGTTGGCCCCCGATGGCCAGAGAGCCCGACCACTGAGTGCACGTTGAGCCGTGAACTTGGCTGGTGGAGATTCTCTCCTTTCACTGATTTACTGAGTGAACATTTGAGGTGCTGATCTCTGTAGAGCGTGACCAGGCGTGTGTGCAGGGATCAGAAACTCAGCGTGCAGACGGAGGGCAGAATTCCTCCGAAGCGTGTGCCCCGGCGGTTCTGAGTGGTTTCTCAGTGCCCTGCGTTGTCGTACGGGAGACGCTCTGTTCCTACCGATTTATGGTGTTTCTGGTTTTAATCTTGTGATTGACACCTTTCTATGTAAACTCCTACCTCGGTGATAAAAGTGAAACGGGATTCGGAAGCAGAGCATCTCCGAGGCGGCCACGTGGTGTCCAAGGGCGTCTCGGGCAGCTCTAAGGGCTGCTTCGCCCTGGGGTTTCCTCGTTTCTTTGGTGATAACCAGGGTCCCATCTTTTTGAAGCTTTGGGGTCCAGAGCCTGGAAGGGAAACCCCAGTCTCCCTGGGGGCCGGGGGGCTGACGGAGCAGCTTCTCTTTGAGCTCTGAGGAAAAGATGGAGGGGCTGCTGCTTTAAAAGAAAAAAAAAACCAAGAAAGTGTATCTTTCAGAGCAGTTTTAGGTTTACCACAAATTTGAGCAGAAGGTACAGGGCTCTCCCACCCCCACCCCACACGCACCGCCTCCTTTATTATCAACGTCCCCACAGACGGGCCATTTGTCACAGTTGATGGCCCTGCCCCAACCCGTCATCCTCACGCCAAGGTTGCCGCGGACGCTGGGCTCACTCGGTGCCATGCAGCCTGTGGCTTGGGCAGGCGTGTGGTGACCGGGACCCGTTTGGGGGCCACACAGGGCAGAGCCCCTGCCCTGCCAGCCCCTGTGAGGGGCAGCTCGGCGACGCGGGCTCCTGCGGGCTGAGCCTCGGCTGCCGCCTGCTGCCAGGACACTGGCACAGGCCACAGAGGAGGGTACCCGTGAGCCGTTCCTGCTCTGAGGGCTGTGTCGGGCGGTCCCTGTACGGACCCTGGCCCAGTCCTGGTGTGCGAGCCACGGTGTGCAGCGTGTTCACGGCGGTGCGACCCTCCCCACACCCTGGGGTTAGCACGTCCCCCTGGCCCAAGGACACCGAGCCAGGCCTTGCCCACCCTGCTCCCGGCCCTGGGCAGCCACCGCGGCGGGCGCTCTCCGTCTTCGGGGATCTGCCTGGTCTGGACGGTCTCCATGAGCGGGCAACGCACTGTGTGACCTTCTAGGTCTGGCTTCTGTCACTGAGCGCGTTTTCAGGGCTCGCTTACGTGGGAGGGCGTGCCACGCAGGGCCCTGCTGCGCCCTGGTCCCCAGTAATGGTCCAGGTGTGTTTGTGCCACGTCTCCGTCACGCTGGCAGACACGAGGGCCGTCTCTGCGTGTCGGCCACCACGTGGAAGTAGGTGTGCACCACGCTCTGCGTGGGAGCTGAGAGCCTGCTCCCTGACCCCACAGGGACATCCAGCGCGCCCACCGCGTGGCGGCCGAGCTGCAGGCCGGAGTCTGCTACGTCAACAACTACAACGTCAGCCCCGTGGAGCTGCCCTTCGGCGGGTACAAGAAGTCAGGTGAGGGGCCGGCCAGCGCGTCACAGCCTCAGGGAGCACACGCAGTCCCCGGTCCTCTCCGGGTCCTCCCCGGGCCCCTGCGCAGTCTTGGGGGTGGGTGTCGCCGGCTAACGCAGGGCTCACAGAGGCGGGAGACCTCTGTCAGGTCTGGTGGCCATGAGGACAAACCCACTGCCGGAGGTCCCATCCCAGCAGCCTCAGTGGCCGTCCGCCCTGGGGTCCGCAGGTTCGGTTCAAGGTGACGTCTCTAGTGTCTCAGAAAGCACGAGTGAATTTGTTTTCTCCATCACGACAGATTAGCAACAGTCCCTTAACCCAGCACTCAGCCATCAGTTATTGTCATCGTCATACAGGTGGCATGGAAACGAGTCCCTAGCCACCACCTGTTCCTGCCATTTCATCAGTAATCAGCCGGGTCGGTCACCTTGCCGTGGCAAGTCTGTGCGTCAGGTGGCGTTGGCGGCATCAGGCCTGCCACCAGTCCTCCGAGGGCCTCTCGTGGCCGGGGTTGCCTGTCACTGTTCGCTTGTGTCTCGTAGGCTCCTTGTCAACACTGGTTCGGACCCCAGTCCCGTCCCCTCCTCTGCTGGCATGTACCTGTGGCTGCTGCTGTCAGCCCGCGTAGAAGCCCCAGTGGCAGCGGACCCGGCGGGCGCTGCTCTGGCGGCTGGGTTTGGTCTTACCCTGGTGTTCTCTGAGCAAGGCTCTCCGACCATCCTCGTCCTGTGGGGCGCCCCACGAGCTGTACACGAGCCCTGATGGGACCGGGGTACGCCTTTATTCTCACGTCACTGTTGGTTCCGGGAGAAGCTTGGAATCTGCGGCGTGGCCTCACGGGGCCCCCAGGTCTGAGTGTCTGGTGCAGCGTCCACGGGCGTGCCCACGCGGGGTGAGAGGAGACACGGGGTGCCCAGCCAGCTCCACCCCAAGGGCTCACACAGAGCCTGGGTGGGACCTTTGTCACCTTTGAGTGTTGTGACCTGGAAACATGCACTGTTGGGGACCGGGCTTGCCCTCAGGAGGCAGAGCCTACCTAGGTCTGGGCAGGGTGATAAGAAGGGCCAAGGCGGGGGACGCTGCCCCTTCAGCACGAAACCTCCGGCACAGCCTCGGGGCAGCCACTCGGCCTTGCAGGGCGGCGGGTCCCTTTCCTTCGCCTCCCCCCACAGCTGATGCGGCAGGTGAGGTCTCAGCTCCCACCGTTCGGCTCTGGGTCCTTCCTAAGGGGCAGCACCCGTGTCTGCAGGTCACCGTGGCTTTCCGGACGGCCACAGCGGTGGCTCACCCTCCCCCTTGTCCTCCTCCCAGGATTCGGCAGAGAGAACGGCCGGGTGACGGTGGAGTACTACTCTCAGCTGAAGACCGTGTGCGTGGAGATGGGCGACGTGGAGTCCGTTTTCTGAACGTGGCCGTGAAGCCTGCAGACGTGCAGGGCACGAGGGCAGCCCAGCGTCCCTCCCCGTCACTCAGTCTTCCCCCCAACAATGCGCAGAAGTGCCTTGCAGTCTAATCCAGAGAGTCGAGATTTCCTACAGCTCACGTTTCCGTGAGACCCCGAGCAGCAGTAGCACGCCTCTGGGGGCGGGCGGGGGTCCTGCCCCACCCCAGACTCGACCCCTGCCCACTGCGTCCTCTCTCTAGCTTCCTGCAAAGAACTTGCTCCTTTCAGGTGCATGGTGGACCCAGGACAGATGACTGGGTCACTGACATGTTTTCAGTTCCCTCCCATTGCCGTCCCCGCTGCAGAGCTGGCGGTCGGGACAGGGGGACGGACAGCGAGGGGCCGGGCACTGGATGGGTCCGTCAGAGAAAGCATTGTGTCCCCTGGGGCTGCGCCTTTGACCTTCAGCTTGCTCTCCTGTGACGCCGCAGTTACCTGTTAAGTGGACAGGTTATTTCTGCCACTGCACGGGAAGGAAATAAATCACACATTAATCTGTTCAGTTTCCTGTTTCAAAACCAAGCACCTTTCAAGGTTTGGGAAGACAATTTTTATGTTTAGACAGAGGGGAAGAGAGGGGGAAAGAGGGAGAGAGACATCAGTGTGTGGTTGCCTCTCACACACTCCCAACTGGGGACCTGGCCTTCAACCCAGGCATGTGTCCTGACCAGGAATTGAACCGGGGGCCCTTCAGTTCGCAGGCCGGCACTCAGTCCACCGAGCCACACCACCAGGGCTAACAGGTGATTCTTACGTACAGCAGTTTGCCAGGCCGGTACAGCGATGGTCCTTGGCTTTGGCCGTGCGTTAGCATCACCCAGAGAAGCTTTTTCTTTTTTTTTTTTTAATTTTTTTATTGATTATGCTGTTACAGTTCTATTCCCCCCTTCATTCCCCTCCACCCTACCCCCCATCCCCACCATTACCCTCCCTTTAGTTTATGACCATGTGTCTCAAGTCCTTTAGATTCTATATTTCCCATACTATTCTTGCCCCCCCCATCTATTTTCTATCTACTGTCTATGCTACTTATTTTCCTTATTTTCTGTACCTTCTCCCCCATCTCCTCCTCCCACTCCCCTGTTGCTAACCGTCCTTGAGATCTTCATTTCTATGTTTCCACTCCTGATCTAGCTGTCCTTTTAGTTTGCTTTTGTTTTAGGTGTGGTTGCTAATAACTGAGTTTGTTGTACTTTTACTATTCATGTTTCTTTAACTTCTTTTTCTTAGATAAGTCCCTTTAACATTTCATATAATAAGGGCTTGGTGATGATGAACTCCTTGAATTTGATCTTATCTGAGAAGCACCTTATCTGTCCTTCCATTCTAAATGAAAGTTTTGCTGGATAGAGCAATCTTGGTTGTAGGTCTTTGGTTTTCATGACTTGGAATACCTCTTTCCAGCCCCTTCTTGCCTGTAAGGTCTCTTTTGAGAAATCTGCTGACAGTTTGATGGGGACTCCTTTGTAGGTGACTGTTCCCTTAGCTCTTGCTGCTTCTAAGATTCTCTCCATTTTAATTTTGGCTAATGTAATTATGATGTGCCTTGGTGTGTTCCTTCTTGGGTTCAACTTCTTTGGGACTCTCTGAGCTTCCTGGATTTCCTGGAAGTCTATTTCCTTTGCCAGCTTGGGGAAATTCTCCTTTATTATTTGTTCAAATAAGTTTTCCACTGGTGGCTGTGCCTTTCCCCCTTCTGATACCCCTATAATTCGGATGTTGGAGCGTTTAAAGATGTCCTGGAGGTTCCTAAGACTCTCCTCATTTCTTTGAATTCTTGCTTCCTGACTCTTTTCTGTTTGGCCATTATTTGCTTTCTTCTGGTCCACTCCATTGATTTGAGTCCCAGTTTCCTTTTCATTGCTATTGGTGTCCTGTGTAATTCCATTCATTTCAATTAGTTTCGCCTTCATATATTTGTCTAATTTGTCGGTATAATCAACCAGTTCTGTGAGGATCCTGATGACCAGTGTTTTAAACTGTGCGTCTGAGAGTTTTGCTATTTCTTCATTGCTTATATCTATGGGCTGTGGGACTTTGAGATCTTGTGACATTTTTTGGTCTGTTCTGGCCCTTTAAGTGTGAGAAGCGGTGCCTTGGACTCCCAGGTCGCTGGGTTATGACGCCGTATGTGGAGGTGGGGTCAGAGCGGGGAAATGGCGGCGCCCTCTACTGCCGCTTGCAGCGGGACCCGCCGGCCCCGGGCCTACTCCCTCGCCTGTCCGCTCGCGCACAAATGGGCGACCACAGTCAACACGCAGCACCGCTTCCCCGCTGTCTCCTCCGCGGTCGCTCACTAGGTCCAACCCTGCGCCTGGATTCCGCGGGTCTGGATTCTGCGCCTGAGTCCGTCTGACTGAGTCCTCCTGTGCAACCCCTCACCAGCCGCTGGTTTCGCCCCTTACTGGTCAGACTGAAGAATTTGTTGTTAACGGACTTCCGAAAAGTTCAATTTTCCGTGTTCTGGCTGTGTTTTCTGTTGCTAATATTTAGTCGTCTCTAAACTTGGTTGTGTGAGAAGGCACCGCACATCCACCTGTGCCTCCATCTTGGCGGAAGTCCCCCAGAGAAGCTTTAAACATCCCGAGCGAGATTCTGATTGAGTTGGTGTGGGGCAGCGGGAGACCAAAGACGCTGCCCAGGGGAATGTGGTGGGCAGCCCCGGCCGAGCACACTGCTCTGGGGTCGTGCTGTGTCCGGTAGCCGGGAGCCGCACGCAGCTGTGAAAATGCAGTTCGTTACAGTTAAATACCAGTTCAGCTCGTCCGTCAGTCTTTCCAGCCTTGTTTCAAGCGCTCAGTGCTGTGCGTGGCGGTGGCACCGGGATTGGAAAATGCCAGGTGCACTTGGCCCTGGAAGGAAAAGGGAGGCCCACTGGGTGCTTTGGAAAATCTGCTGTGACTTCTGACTCTGCCCTGGGCCCCAAGAAGCCACGCCCTCGGCCTACGATGGATTGAAAGCGGCACTTTCGGTCCGTGGTCCAGAGTCGGTGGCTGAGAACGGGAAGAGGATACAGTTCTCCCTCCTGGGTGGTTGAAGCCGCAGATGTGCAGGAACATTTGTTGACGACAGACCTGTGTGGAGGTGACCCGTGCAGTTGTGCCCCTCGATGCTGCAGGGTGAGCGGTATATCCAGTGTTGGGACCCTCGAAGAGTGTGCTGTCCCGGGGGAAGGGACAGAGACCGCACAGCCACGGTGCAGGAAGGGGGCAGGCTGGGGTCCTGGCGACCGGGAGGACTGCCTGGCTGTCAAGTGCTGGCGCCGTTTCTCCAGCAGGTGGCGCCCGAGCCCACCCCACACCTTGTGCAGGACTCTGGAGCCTCCAGGACTAAAGAGGTGAGTGCCGTTCCTGTCCCACCCCACCTCTCTGCTCACCGCTGGGCACACGGCCCCCCAGGGTTCTCTAACGTCCCCCTAGGAGAGCTCAGCTCACGTCTTTTCATGAAATAAACCGACTCTATGCACATGGCCATGTTGGCAGAGGGGTGGGGATCCCTAGGCTGGTTCTTGGTCCGCCAGGCAAGGGAGCTGTGCGGAGACTAGCAGGCCAGACAGGGTCGCTCTGCAGCGCCACCTACCGACTGGACTGCGTCCAGCCCGAGGGGGCCGGGATGTGCAGTTGTGGGGGAGCCAGGGAGCTGAATGGACCAGGCCCCGGGGGCCCCATGCCAGACGCAGCACCCTCTGACGGGCTGCGGCTCCTTACAAATGGCATCTGAGCCCAGGCTGTGACAAAGTGACAGATAGGACGGGTTCCTTTGAAGGCACGCCCTGTTAAGTCTACAAAGGTGAAAACCCACCTGTCCCCAGGTGCCCTGCCTGCCTTACTGCCACCTGCACCTTACACGACAGGGAGGGGCCTCCACAGGTGTCCTTGTCCCCCCAGGGGTACTCACCACCTGACAAAACCAGGACAGACAGACCCCCACCCCCCCCAGCTCAGTGCACGTTCTTCCTTATGTTACTTTGTAGCCTGAGGACCCAACCCCTGCCTGCACCGTCGCCTCCTTTCTTAGGGTCATCATAAACCACAGGGTACATGTCACGGCCTTAGGGACACCACCTCATGTCCGGTTGCTCCTCACTGCTGAGACCTCCTCACAGACCGACTCACCCGGAGAGTGGGCCAGCTTAGTCCAACCTCACTGGGTGCCCCGGGGGGCCCCGGCTGGTCCTGTGGCCAAGGCTGACCCTCCTGGGCTGACCAGAGCATGTCACCCCCAAATGCCTCCTGACCTCCAAGGGACAGAGGGCAGCATACAAAATGCATGGTGTCAGACTCGGGACTGGGGTCTGGTCCTGCCACTGATGCTCCCAGCTACGGAGCACTTGAAATGTAGCGAGCGATAGCAGCAGCCGAGGAACTCATTTTGTTACATTTTATCCATTGCAGCACCGGCCAGGGCTCCCACCCTGCACAACACAGAGCCGGGCGCTTCGGTTCCGTCCATGCAGCTTGCAGCCACTTTCATGTTAGGAGCCGCCACCCCTGTCCCTCCCGAGTCTCCCAGAACCTGTAAGTCCTCTCGTGTATTTGCCCCGATACAACCCGGTCTTTGTACCCAAATGTGGGCGCTTCCGTTCATCTGTCGAGTTTCACCTCCTCCTTCAATTTAACCTCTGACTTCCGTTGCTAGGCCATAGAAGCAATATTCCATACTGGTTTTTTAAAGAAGATTTTACTTATTTATTTTTAGAAAGAGGGGAAGGGAGAGAGAGAAACATCTGATGTGTGACAGACACGTCAATCGGCTGCCTCTTGCATGTCTCTAACTGGGGACCCGGCCCACAACCCAGGCATGTGCCCCAACTGGGAATCGAACCAGAGACCTTTCAGTTCACAGGCTGGCACTCAGTCCACTGAGCCACACCAGCCAGGGCTCAACGTTTTTAAAACTCTTCGTTATCATCCCGAGTACCAGCCATCGTGGGCCCGGACGAGAACAAGCCGTTCCTCCTGGAGCCCGTGTTCCGCAGCCATGAGAGGTGCCGTGAGCCTGTTCCCACCATTCGAGGTCTCCCGGCCTGCAGTGCAGAGTTGGCACCAGCTGGCAGGCGGGCCAGCGTGTCCACCCCCTTGGCCCCGGTTACCGCCTGGGAACAGGCCCTCAGCAGGAAATAATCGCAGAGTCAGGTTTACGTACGAGGCTGATGCCAGATAAATTTTATTACATTTAGAAAAAAAAGGAACTGGAAATAAAAGTCAGTCACTCGCGACGCAGGAGCGTGTTCGACGCCCCACCCCCTGTTCCCCCCTAGTGGCAGGATCTGGACCCCCCGCCCAAGCCGGTTCTAACCCAGCCCAGGTGCTGGAAGGCCGAGCACACGGTCGTGCCCATCAAGCCCAGGAGGGCGATGGAGCCCAGGGCGCCCCTGCTCCGCTTGCTGGGTTCTGCAAGAGAAGGGAGAGCCGAAGTCACCGGGAGGCTCCAGGACGGACCATGGAACGTCCCCTCAGGGAGCCGCTGGGGCACCAGACCGCCTGGTTGACCCACTTTATTATGCAAAGGAACGTGTCTCGGGTGGCTCGGGCCTTAGAAGAATGTCGGGATAACACCCGGGGCCGCTTTGAACCGGGACCCTGGCAGTGCTTCCCCTCTTCCCCGAAGACCTAAGTGCAGCAGGAAACGTTTGCGGTGCGGGGTGGGCCCCGGAGGTGGACCCTCTGTATCTGCCTCAACTCACAGTGTCTGTATGGTGGCTCTGGGTCCTAGGTAGGGGCTCGATCTTTCTTTTCCTTTTAAAGATTTTATTTATTTACTTTTAGAGAGAGGGGAAGGGAGGGAGAAAGAAAGGGGCAGGAATTGCCTCTCATGCATCCCCCACTGGGGACTCGGCCTGCAACCCAGGCATGTGCCCTGACTGGGAATCGACCCGGCGACCCTTAGGCTGACAGGGCAGCACTCAATCCACTGAGCTACGCCAGCCGGGGCTAGAGCCTTAATCTTCCTAAGCCTCAGTTTCCTCATCTATAGAATAGGGAAATACTATGTACATCACGGGATTGGTGGAAGGTTTCCAAAAGTAATATGCAAGGTTCTTAGAACAGCAACTGACGCACAGAAAATGCTCCATCAGAGCAGTAAGTGTTGTTACCATTCACAGGTGAATAAAAGGAAAGAAGGTAGCGGGCCTTTCACAGGGACATCAGGTTACACCCTTTCCTTAAAGCCCAGACAGGGCGGGAAACATAGTAACACCAGGCCGTTCGCTTCCGTTTGCTTCCCCAGGTGGGGTCTGCTCCACTCACCTCCCGTGTAGTAGCCGTAGGCGTAGAGAACGCGTCCAACAATCCAGGCCAAGCCCAAGCCCGAGACTATTCTCTAAAAAAAAAAAGGGAGGTGCATGATGTGTGTTTGCATTCAAGAGACTGGCAGCTCGGTATGGACATCTAGGGTTGACTGCACCACCTTTTAGCCAAAAGTCCCTCATTTCACTCCCTGGGGCTGGGGGCCCCTCACGTTGGTGGGTCGGGAACTACGGACGTGGCTTCTGGCAGCTGGTGCAGACCAGGGGACTCTGCGGGGGTAGTTCCAGGAGCGGGGACACCTGATACTTGGTCAGAGCCTGGCTAAGGGGAGACACTTTCTGTCCAAGGCAGGACCCAAAAGGCAAGTAACGGTGCCGACCGACCCCGAGGCCCGCCCTGCCTCTAACAGATGCGTCACATGCTCAGGTGCCTAAGAGTCAGGTCTGCGAAGCCAGCCGTCCGCCTGGTCGGTCCGCCTGGGTCACCTCGGGGGACCGGTGAGTGTGTCTCTCTCGAATGAATGATTACGCAAAGGAAAACGCTAGTGGACACGAGCCTTCTAGAGTCGGGCCTGGGTTCAAATTCTGACTCTCCTGTAGCCCTTTGACCTTGAGAAAGTTACAGAGTATACACCTTATCCGTAAAAAAAAACTGGGGAAAGTCTACCCACTTTAAAGAACGCAGTGAGAAGTAACTGAAGGAAATCCTTTTCAACTGAGGGTGCCCGGCTGAAAGCCTTCCTATCCCAGACAAAGCACCGACTAACTTACCGGGTGGTACACACCGCCCACGGCCAGGAAGAACAAGAAGGGAGGGTAGACTTCCAACCTGCAAGAGACGGACGGGCACTCATTAAAAAGTGTCCCTGGAAGTACGTTTACGTAGGATGGGGAGCCCTTAACGCGCCAAGTTCGACACCCAAGAGGGAAATGAACGCCATCCGAGGCAGAGGAGCCGGGCCCCGGCCCACCTCTGGGATCAGAGGCGGCTGAGAAACCACAGTGCAGGCCCCTCCAAGTGGCTCCCGAGAACGGCCTGGTGACTTCGGTGGGCTCCCTTACAGAGCTCGGGGCCCCTGTAAGGAGACCCCCACGTCACTTTAGGGGGATGTGCTAGGTGCCCATTGAGATCAATGTGGCAGTGGGGATGGTCCTGGACAGACCACCCACCATCTGACACTCTTCACTTGGCTTAACATTCAATCTGTTCACTTACAAGTTTTTATTAAAGATTTTACTTACTTATTTTTAGAGGGAAGGGAAGGGAGGGAGAGAAACATCAATGTGTGGTTGCCTCTCACACACCTCCTACGGGGAACCTGGCCCGCAACCCAGGCGGTGTGCCCTGACTGGGATTCAAACTGGTGACCCTTTGGTTCACAGGCCGGTGCTCAATCCACTGAGCCGCACCAGCCAGGGCTACTTACAGGTTTGTTTACAGGATACTTTTAACGATTGCCACCGTCGCTATGACAAACGGCACTAAATGCCGGGTCAGACAGAGGCACTCCCTCCACCAGGGGCGGAGGTGCCGCAGGGCCCACTCACGTGTTCTGGTGGGCTCGCTGGATGCAGTTGAAGAGGTGCCCGTTCTCCGGGTCCGAGCTGTACATGGTGGGGTACTGGGGACACAGAGGGCGTGCCGGTCAGACGTCAGGACAGGTAACCACCAACCGGAAGCTGCTCCACCCCCACGCACCTCCCACCGGACCCCATAGACGAGATCAATGTCTGCTCGGTGCAGCAGTGACCGGGGCTGGTCCCCAAAGGCAGATCTGATCGGGGCCTGTCCGCACCCAGTGACGGGGACAGAAGCAGCTCGAGCAATGCCATCGCTGACTGGCTTCTCACGCATCGCAAAGGCAACCCAGGGAAACAGCTCGTGCCCAGATTTGCCAGACGCCCCGGGCCTTGCAAGAGGCTCCTTCGTGGGGGGCAGACACTGAGTGTGTGAGAATTTTAATGGACATGACTGTTAAAAAAAAACAAACCCCAAAACCAGGTATGAAAACATCAGAAGCAGCTCTAGTTAGGGAGGCTGACCATAGGCTTCTGAACAGAAATGGACACCTGGACGTGCCTGTGGGGGACAACCTCAGTGACCGCCCCCGGCCCAGTCCGGACAAACGGGGGCAACTGAGGCCTCCTCCCCTCGCCCAGCACACAGGCCCAGGCTCACGGCAGCACCGTGACACAGGACGTCACCAGAGGCGGCCACACCAGGGAACAACGTGGCCGTGGAACCCTTGTTAGAAAAAGAACACCCTTCCTGGCAAAGAGCTGCGGCCAAAGGCAGACTGGTCTCCTGCTGCCCACCAGCCTTTCTGCAGAGGAGACCAAGTGAAGCCAGGAAGGGACCGCTCCCAGCGGGGTCTCGCATGCTCGCTGTCTTCCGGCTGGAAAGGGGCGGAATTTCCAACAGGTGCTGCCGGACCCCAGCTAGCCTCACCTGTCCCTCTGGGACGGGAGACAAGCTCTCGCCTGGACAAGCCCACGGCAGTGCCAGCCTGTCCCCACTCACCTCCACCTTGTACTTCTTGCGGGCCTTGGCGACGTTGACGGCAAGGTGGGCGACCATGATGAAGCTGGCGGCCCCGGTCAGAACCACAAACCCGTATTCCTTGGAGAGGACGGCCATCTCGACTCTGGGGGACAAAGTACAGGTGAGGCAGGTGCGGCTGGAGTGTGCACACCTGCAGGTCAGAGAGGCAAGTGGATGATGCTTCGGAGAGGTGGCGGGAGAGGCTGCGGATGTCACGCGATGGAGTTTAGAAATCTCCCAAAGATGCGGCATTCACGGCAATTTCACAGTCTGTTCTGTTTTGTGCTGGGCCCTTTGGATCAGTGCGACGTTCCTGAGATGCCTCTAACTTCTGAGCTGCTCGTGAGGGGCGTCCACGTGCCCCGTCTCTGGGATGGGGACACAGGGGAAAGGGCAGTCTCCAGCCTCAGCATGGGGTCACCTGCTGGTCCTATCTCCTGGCCATCCTGTGTGGCCACAGAGGACGAGGAGACAGGCCGAACTCCGAGCGGGCACGCTCCCCCCACTCCCTTCTGGGTGAGTCACTTTCAAAGTGTCGAAAGTCAGCAGCTCAGAACAGAGATGCGTGCCGCGTTCTGAACGCCTTTTGAGAATGACTGACTAAACTTTCTGAGCCGCCTGACATCCCTGGAATTTAGCACATCTGAGCCACCGGGCCATTTCGGATGAAGCTGTCTCTTTGTGACAAGCTGCGTGTTTAAGAACAGCACCCCCAAGCACATTGGGTTTAGGTCCAAGTTTCCAAGTTGAGAGTCGGCTTCCAGAACCAAAGGTCTACATAGGCTGCTGGGCTTGTGGCAGCGCAGGGACGTCCACCTGGTGTCTGCCCAGGACCTTCCAGCTCCGCTCGCTTGCAGTCTTCCCCAAAGCCCACAGGGGGGCGCCACTTGTCACACCAGGAAATACAAACTCAGCGAGAGGAGGGCAGAGACGAGACCAGGGCGCATTTTAGGGTTCCTCCCCAAATCCAACGAGCCCAGGCAAACCGCCCAGGCAAAGCATTAGCATTTGGTGGCTCAGTCCTTCGCCTCTGCTCTTCCGATGAGCAAGAGCTGGGGGTGGGAGACCCCCATGGGCAGGACCGAGTGCCCCCCGAGCGGGTGTTTCTGTGGTAGGCCACGAACCCCAGAGAGCAAGCGCCCAGAGACCTACAGCTGAAATTCAGGGGGCGGGACTCTGCTCCTCTTCCAAAGCAGAAAGGCAATCCGGAGGTCAGACCCTGCGACCGCCACTCTCCCCACACCTTGCTAAGGTGACAGGGGAGGGTTTGCAAAGGACTGCATTGCCCCTGAGGGGACTTGGAGGGGGGAAGGGGACAGCCCGGCCTCCCTCCCCAAGGCTTCCCTGCGGCAGCCACAGACCCAGCTGCACAGGGGCAGGGGCACAGCCGTCCCGATGCCTCTGTCCCCACCACGTGGGGGGTCCTGCTGCACAGGTCACGTGCTGACACGCAGCCCCCGCAGGAGGGCGTGTTGTCGGGCACCCTCTGTGCCAAGCACAGATGCCTGGGGGCAACCCAGGAGCGGCCTGGCATTCCAGGTGGCTTTCAGGAATGACCCCTCCAACACTGACGATGCTCTTCCTTGTCTGGCACTGCTGGGAACACAGGAAGCCCCCTACCTACTGAAGTTTCTTCCTGTTGGTCCCCTCAGAAGTCCCTGCAGAAACAGTGGCAGCGACCACGGCTGCACTATTTGGAAGGAGGAGGTCAGAACCCAGAGAAGCTGCTGGACGCAGACATCCAGCAGGGACAGAAGGCAGGTGAGGCGTGTCCTTGCGGGAAACAGTCGACTTAATTCGCTCAGGGGTCAGAACACCTTTATCACGTGCGTCCCCCTTTTCCTAGGAGCCCGGGGCAAAGGGAGGGATTTCCCAGGCCACAGAGACTGGCCTTTGCAGCTCAGTCCGGCAGCAGGCCCAGGGGCTGCTGGCTCAGCTCGCAGGGCCACGCCCGGCGGTCACAGGCGCGCCCCAGCTCCCCAGCCCACAGATAGCTTCCTGGCTCCGGCTCCAGAGGCTGATAAGTGGCACCTGCCGGTCTCGGGCATGGGGGCTCCTGTGGGCGGCACACCCTGCTCCGTCCGCTGCAGCCCTTTCATCTCCCCCCAGATAAGGTGCTGGTGCTGGGGGCCCCACCCTGACTGTCCTCTACGTGGGGCTGACACACCCCCCGTGCAGGATCCCGGAGAGGGCTCAGCAGGCTGCACGGTGCGGACTCCTGCCACCCTCCCCGCCCCCCGACTTGTTCGTGAGCTGCCTCACCGTGCTCCAGGTCACACGCGAAAACTCACACACAGTCTGTATAAACACGGGTGTGTTTAAAGGCGCACAGGGTGGGGCAGATGCAGGTTTGCTCATATGAGAATAAGTAATAATAATACAAGAGCAAACTCTGTTTCCCATACTCACGGCGGCCCCCCCTGCTTTGTCCTGCCTGGTTTGTGACCGTGACCAGTGTATGTGTTAGTACACATGGGGGGGGGCGGGGCGGTGGGACAGCCTGGCAGGGGGCCGTAATACTCCCAATGTTGTTCTTACCTCCCGGCTGGTTAGCCGTCCAAGAATCTAGTTGCTTCAAAGACCTTCACCCCGGCAACTACTTATCATCGCGGTCGCAGAAACAGTACAGACGGCCACGCAAAACGCATGCGATACAGCGATGAAAATGTCCACACGGTTAACGGACCCCATGTCAGGGAGAGCAGAACATGCATTTATGCCGCCTACAGTCTTACTTTCTCAGCGACAGAAAACAAGAAAATAGCAAAGCCATAGCCTACTCATTTCTCGATGGCTGAATCATAGATTTTTCCTTTGCACTCTCCTATAATTTCCAAAAGGAGCCAGTGTCTACCCAAAAAGTTACATAAAGACGGCCTGGCCACAGTCGGCAAGGAGGGGACGCGAACAGGCAGCGTGTGTGGGTGGCGCCGGGCTCGGGTCCTGACGCCCACTCCGCGGTCACCCGGCCGCCGCGCAGCGAGAACGCGCTCTCTTGGGGGCCGACGGTCTGAGTCAGAACCTGGCCCCGGGGCCTCCTAGCTGGGTCCTGGGCAAAGTCGCCGTCTTTCAGCTGCCTCCTCGTGTATTCAGTGGAGATACTAAGGGTGGGAGTCCCCGCCTGTGGGCGTGAGGAGCAGGTGGAGGCGGAGCCTGCACCCCCACCCAGCGGGCGCTCGTCAGCAATACACTGATCCTCTCTGCTGGCTGGGGCTCGGCCCTGACTCGGTTAGGAAAGGGGGGTGTCTGAATAAGTGATAATGGATGTGCATTCAAGCATTCGTCATTTAGAACTGGTATTTTTAAAATATATTTATTTATTTTTAGAGAGAGGGGACAGGAAGGAGAAAGAGAGGGAGAGAAACATCAATGTGTGGTTGCCTCTCATGTGTCCCCCACTGGGGACCTGGCCTGCAACCCAGGCATGTGCCCTGACTGGGCATCAGACCGGCGACCCTTGGCTTCACAGGGCCTCACTCAATCCGCTGAGCTACACCAGCCAGGGCTAGAACTGGGACTTTAAAATGGCAAACGAAGCTTGGAGCTGTATGTATGTATTCCCCTCATTCTCTGAACTCTGAGTAGCCAGCCACATCCAAATCTACCATCTGAAAAGCAGGGATGTTTAAGAGGCTGCATTCTACCAGTGCTGACTCGGGGAAAAAAAGGAAAATGAGTCCGTCTGGCCCGTCCCTGGCAGGGACTCGTGTGTGCGCATTCACCTGTCCTCGTTTACCTGTGCCTACTGTGTGCCACTCACTGGGCCGGGGGAGGCAGAAAGGAAGCAAGCCAGCAGCCAATCCCAGACTTTCCCCGTCACAGCGACGGTCAGAAGCTGAGCCCAGAAAGCCCCCGAAGAAAGGAAACCGCGCGGGAGGGGGAAAGGCAGGCGTTTCTGAGGAGGCGTGTGCGGGCTTTGCACCAGCGGATTCCTGGCCATCTGGAGAGGGGTCAAAACAGCGCACTGGAGAGAGGATGGCATCGGAGAGTTAAGGGAACCTGAATCACTCTATCCAGTTTTTCTTTTTTCCAATCCTCACCTGAAGTTATGTTTTTTTATTGATTTTACAGAAAGAGGAAGGGAGGGAGGGAGGGACGGGAGAGAAACGTGACTCAGTTGCCTCCCATACATGCCTCAGCCGGGGATCAAACCTGCAACCACCCGCAACCTTTGGGTTACTGAACTAAGTTGAAACTCCGGAGCTACCCGGCCAGGGCAGATTTTCTTGCTTAATTAGACGCCCTCTGTCGTTAGGAGTAGGGATGCCCTGGGGGACGCTCTCACTGCCCGCAGGCTGGAACACCGTGGCCGATGCACCCAGCCCTCTCCGGTGGGGCAAATGTCAGGAGACGAGACAGTGAGAATTCTGAGCTGGCCCTGTGTCCACACACGACCTCGGTGACCAGGGGGAAGCCACCGAGTTTCTCTACAAATGGGAGACTACTGACCGTGACCATTGCAGGAAGGTTGGAGGAATTCAGTGCCGTAAACTAGATACAGAAGCTTGGTACGTCCTGTCTCCATGCAGACAGTGTGGACCGGGGTGAGGGCGGGGTATGTGCCCATGGAGACGTGGGAAGTGAGCCCTCGCTCAGGAGGCCCGGCGTTCTCTGCCAACCAATAGCTTTTACTTAGACAGAGTTCTGACGCCGTTCGGAATGGATTCAGATTTGCCCGAGGGCTGGGCTACTCAGGTTCCCAAGGGGAGCGGGTTTCCTGGCATGGACAGCCTGCCGCGTCCAAGAACCCCGGACTCCTTCATCCCACCGTGCTATGGGGAGTGTCTGCTCTGTGCCAGGTCGGGTTTAGGTGTGGGGGACACAGTGTGAGCAAGATGGGGTCCCTGCCTGCAAGGCACTGCCGTTCCCGAGATAAGGAAAGACAGAAAACAAACACACAAACTGGACCCGTGAGAGCGGCCTGCACCGTGGGGAGCGCCCACTGTGGTTGAGGGAGGGACCTGGCTGCTATCCCAGGACATCCGTGGGCCTGCCCACCGCAGCGGCCCCCTGAAGGAGGAAGAGATGCTGTCCCACGTCCTGGGGAAAGAACGCTCCGACCGGAGCCGCCAGTGCACAGGCCCGGGCTGAGGGCAGCCCTGGACACTCAAGGCCGGAAAGGCAGCCGGTGGCACGGCTGGCCCCAGCCAGTGGTGGGGACAGCAGGACATCGAGTTAGAGGGTCTGTCCCGATCACGAGGGGCTTTAGGGCCATGTGATGGTCAACTGTCCTTGCTTCTCCCTCCAGGGACTCGGATGAGGAGCACAGACCCTGGACAGAAGGGAAGGAGGAGTTCTGACGAGGAAGAAGTGGTCCCCTCGGCTGAGACATGTGAGTAGACTGAGGATGGTCTTGGCTTTGGTGATGGGACCTGCAAGAGCAGCTTTTAGGGGAAGGACAAAGGTGGAAGGAGGAGGCCTGCTAAGGGGCAGGCCTGCCTCCTGAGCCCACTGCCCAGTCCCACGGACACCACCCGGGCATGTTCTACCCCTGCCTTGGGAAGAAGCCTTTCCTCCCGACCCACGCTCACAGCCACACCTCAGCCCACGAGTGTGCACGCCCTGGTTTCACACCAATCAGTGGGCTGCTTCACCTGCCCCCGAACTCAGTGGGGTGGGGAGACCAGAGGCGGTTCTGTAGGATGGGCCCCCTGCCGACGGGCGTGTCCACACCAAACAGGTGGGTCAGACGGCCCTGCACCTTCTGGGGGCTTGGGCTCATCAGTCTCACCTGTGACGGCCACTCGGTTCCCGGCTCCCTTTTTATGGTCACTGTCACCCACCAGATCACACGTCCCCACCCGTCAAGTGAGTCAGAGTTCAAGGCTTCTCACCTCCCCCAAAGTGAGGCCTCTTACGGCAAGCATGGCCTGAGACTGTCGCTTTGGGACAGTGGATTGGGGCTGCCGGACGTTCTGGGCAATCGGCCACACCACTGCAAACGAAAGGGCTGTTTAAGGGTCCAGCGGGACCACCAGCTCGCTCCTGTGAGTTTTCGGGGCACTTGCCCTTTGCAGGGGATGTGTGTGCGGGGTACAGGTGCAAGTCAGGAGGAGGGAGGTCTGACCCTTTCAGTGATGACTGCGCTGTGGTCCAAATGCATTCAGCTGGGCAGTTAAACGGCCCCCGCTTGGCTGTAGAAAGGATTCAGATTTTAATGTTTGAATCCTGACCCTCGGGAGGGGCTGTGAGTTCACTCCTGTTCTGGGGGTGGTGGGGAGCGGGAAGGGGGCAGCAGGATGCTCAGGTCTGGGTGCTGCCTCCCGGTCAGCGGGCCGTCTGCGCCGACTCCGTTCAGACCAGGGAAGCAAACTCCCTGTCTCCTCTCCAGAGCATGAGCTCGGTGTCAGAGGCACCGGATACACGTGTCCGTGTGGAACTGCGTGTCCCCTGGGAAGCTGGGGCTCCCACTCGTAGGGGGCCTGGGAAGAGGAAACATGCAGCAGGATGGAACAGGGCCCAGGTTCCTTCGCTGGTGTTAACGGCACTTTCCCAGACAGACTCTGGACTCAAACAGCTCTCGACACAAAAGGGCGAGAGTTTCCTTGATATGGTGACATCTCGCCTGGATGCCCCCGAGTCACGCTGGACTCTCTGGAGCCTGTCCTCCCGGGAGGTGTGACACCAGGGACAGGCCACAGAATATGCTCCAGGTCTGAGGGCAGCAACCTCAGAGGCAGGGAGAGAATGGGAAGAAGCCACAGGACGCAGAAGAAAATAAAATTCTCAGCCGTTCCTCCAATGGGGCTGATCTGTTCAAGTCCCCGCCGGACAGACCATTTACCGATGGGGACTGCTTGCTTGCCGCCCTCACCTGCCACCATCCTCAACGCTGCTCAGAATGGCTCCTTCCCTCCCGGGACTGAGCCTTATGCCCCGCCCCCTACTCTGCGGGAAGGGCCATCATGGCACTTCTTTCCCTGTCAGAACCTGGAAAGAAGGACACAGACAAGTGGAGGGACAGAGCACGGAGGGCGGTGAAACAGGAGGGGACAGACTGCGGTGAAGGCTCTGCGGCACAGACACCGGACACGTGGGAGAGGACATGGGCAGACAGCACAGCAGGCCCGCAGCACGGATGACAGAGAAAGGGGACCGGCGTGTCGGGGTGGGGAGCGGACTGGGGGAAGGGCGGTTGGAGCCATCAGTGACTTTCACCCGTGACACTCATTACCAGCACGTTTATCATGTACCGCCTGCCAACCGCTGTCCCCAGGGGCTCGCCCTCCTTGACTCGGGAAGCCCTAGGAGCAGCCCTGTGAGAGGTCACCGTCTCCACACTGCACAGCAGGGAACAGCATCACAGCTAGGCCGTCGGGGGCGGGGTCTGTGCCCTGGGTTCCAGGCAGCCTCGCAGGCCGAAGCCACATTTGACCACGCCCACTCTCGAAGTATGATGGCAGAGAGAATAGAAGGCTAATCATTCACGCTAAATCTATGATGCTAAATCTGTGAGCGATTAGAGCCTGAGACCTTTCTGAGTGGAAGAAAGAAAAACCCTTGGAAAAAGGTCCAAAAGGAACTTTTAAAGAGTGCCGGCATCGCAGTACGACAAACGAGGAGCGGTCACAGAAGGGAGGGACACCCTCCCACCTCTCGAGGGCCCAGGTCTGCAAGGAGACAGGTTACACAGGGACAGGGACCCCGTTTTTCTGACCTGACCCTTACTGGCAGTAGGCACCGAGCGCCACGGGGAAGCCAGACCCTGATTTCTGGAAGAGGGGAAAAGGCATCTCAAGTGGGTCACACTGACACCACTTGCATTTTCCGTCACAAGAAACAGGGCTGATGGCAGTCAAGTCCCAGCAGCCGCAGGGTCTCCACCAGGGCACCAGCCGCTGGGAAGGAAGGGACCACCGGGCCGCTGGCTCCAGCCCAGGGCAGGGGTCTGTCTGCGCCAGCCATTCCCATTTCTGAGGCTGAAGAAGAAAAGCATCGCTCATTTTAAAAAGCCTCCCAAGGCACCAAAATATTAGAACCCGACTCCCAGCCAATACGCAGGTCGGCTCTAGAAAGGACTTGGGGGAAACCTGAGATTCCAAACGCCGAAGTCCTTAAAGGCATTTGCAGACGCATTTGGGGGGGGCGTACCCCTGCCCGGTCCCCTCGCTGCTCTTCCCCCACACTCCCCACCTGCACCTGTGAGAGAGAGTGCAGGGAAACTCGGGAATTCTGTTCTACAAGGCAGCCACCCACCGGGTAACCGCTGAATCCTTCTTTCCAGGAGGATGGAAAACTCATAACAAGGATCCATAAATCAGTTGCAAAAACTATAGCAGTCTATATCCTTTTAAACAAATACTGCTTTGAAAATGCAAAACGGTCCACAGGCAGACGCGGTTGGCAATGGGGTTTTGAATATGGGTTCAGAATGTTTACAGATGAATGTGGGGGACAGTGTATTTAAAGGCAGCCAGTGGCGCAGTGGGCACCAGGTGACTCTCTGACAGACCGATGTGCCGCCCATGTCATTCCAGATGGTTCTGGGGGCTGTTCAGAGCGTCCCTGGATCATGGGCGGAAGCCTTCTTTTACAGGCACTCAGTCCACACACTGCCGTCCAATTAGGAGGTTGCCTTCGGTGACTCTCTCCTTGGAGAGCTAGGCCAGCAGGAGGACTTCAAAATGCATGCGGGGACACTGCCCTTCTCACTTGTCCCTTCCTGTAAGGAAGACTGGGGTGCAGTTTCTAGGGCTGGCCACTGTCTCTCTCTCTCTCTCTCTCTACCAGCCGAAGCCATTTTATATATAGTAACATGGGTTGGGGAAGATGCTTGACAAAGTTTTCTATTTCTGTAACACTGTGTCAGAAGGGAAGCTTAACACGTCTTCCAGGGGTTGGCAAGTATTTGTTTGGATTTAGATGTTAGTTTTGTTGAAGCCCCTTACATTTCACTCCTGGGAAGAGAAACATTCTTGATCCTCCTACTCAGGTGGTCGTGAGCCAGGATCATGGAAGTACATTCAATGAGCTGAATTCACTAACCAAATAAAACAGTGCCTATAACTCTGACCAACACCCCCGTGGGAGCCTCTCCACACTGCAAGCCTGCAGTGACCTGAGATACCCCTCGGGAAGCCCTGCTCTGGCCCCGAGGCACAGAGGAAGCTACGCCCGGTGGCAGCAGCCCTGCGTGACCACGCCTAGGTCCCTGGCACATCTGCGGAGCAGAAAAGTCCCTCATCCAGGGCGCCCCACCCGCTCTCCTACCCAGCGGCCTGCGTTCACCTCCTTTCCCACACTTGTCCCCTACGGTACAATGTAGCTCGTAACCTCGTGACTCCCGAGGGAAGAATCAGCTGAAGCCACAACTCTCGGATGACTCACCATGGAGTCTCCAGCCCCTTCCACCGCCCGCAGCGCCACCAGACAGGCGGGAAGTTGACAGAAATCCAAGGCAGAACTGTAAATGAAGATTCCGCCTCCTGCAGCGCACAGTTCCTGCTCTAAGGCTGAGGTAGGAAATGCCCCCGTTTAAGGTTCCAGTGCAAACCGACAAACGTTTCTGCGCAGCAGGAGGAAAACAAACACGATGCTCTGGGGACTCTCGGAAGGTCCCTAGCAACACAGCCATCTGCAGCGGGCACCGCGCTCCAGGCCGCTCCAAGCATGGAGATACCCATGGGCCTGCGTGGCCCACCCTCTGCAGCAAGGCTGTGGCCGGCAAGGTCGTGTGCGCTCGGGAGGCACGGTGAGGGGACCGGAGGAGAGGGAAAGAGGGACTTCGGGAGGGTTGACCTTGAGAATCTCCGTGAGTCGCAGATGGCAGGGCTAGGTCCAGCTTAGACGCTGCAAGCCCACTCCATCCTGGGAGGGTGCCGGCAGGTAGAGGGCGAAGGGGATGATGGAAAGGTAGAAAGGAATCTACAGACAGGAAGAGGAAGAGAGGGCGAGTCCCTATTCGGCTCCGGATGACAGAGTTATGGGCAGTGCCCAGAGCAGGGGCTGAGGTGCCCCCGAGGGCCGGCGCGCCCCGCGGCGTGCACTCACCTGGGTCACCTCGGAAGGGCTGGTGCAGAGTCCAGGTGCGCAGCAGAGTGTGGGTGCAACGCTCAAGGCCTCTGGCAGGATGGGGCGTGGCCTGAGCAGGCCACGCCTGCCCCCGGGGCCGCACAAGGCCCCGCCTCCAAGGCGAGGGTCCTTTTGCACCTTTGAATGACAGCTCTAGGCTCCGCCTTGTGAACCAGAGACTGAAATTTCTCGCTCCTCACGGCTGTCCATTGATGTAGTCCTTTCACTCCCAAGTTTATTTAGCTACTCCCACCCACAAATGCCTTAGTTGCTGCTTTCCCACTGTGGCCCTGCCAGTTCGCGCTCTACAGATTGGGTTTGTGGAACGGTCGCACGTAAGTAGTTTGTCCTCACTACAGCCACCGTAGCTTGCGAGTGGGCGAGGCGCAGGCTGGTACTGCGCGTGCGTGGAAGTAGGGGTGCGCCCGGTGGGGGTGGGGTTGGTGCGGCACGTGCGTGGTGTTCCACCTGCTATCTTGGCGGAGGGGAGGGGTGTATGGGTCGCGCGTTTCCCCGGTTAGTAAGGGTTCCTGTTAGTCACCGTTGTCGAGAGCCCGAGCTGAGCCCTGCCACTTGGTGGCTGCATCCGCCCACGCTGCCCTCCTACCCCCACAACCTCGCTGTTCTCTTTCCCGGAACCGGCTGTGTGGCCTCGGACCACAGACCTCCGATCGCGTGCCCGAGCCCCAGTTGCGCGTGGAGTCCCGTCGCGAGCGGCTTGGAGGCGAGCGCGGCCGCAGGAGCAGGACTGGGGACTCGCCCTGATGCTCTGAATTCGGCTCGCCCCTTTGCTCCGACCCCCACCTGCTACCAGGGCGCCACCTCTGGTGGGCGCTGGCCCCCTTCGAGCGCCTGGGAGCCAAAGGATTCCAAGCGGAGGTGCGAGAGGAGGGCTCCAGATCTGAGAGGGCTGCGGGCCGCGTGTGCGGCCGGGTTTGCTGGGCTGGCATACCCGCCCAGGCGGAAGCCCGGCGAGGGCTCGTAAAATGTCTACTGTCGTCGCTTCAGCAACTTCCAAGCATTCTCACGCTTTCATCTTCTTCGGTGCAAGAAGGCCTTACATATTTCAGGGTTCTGGCACATTGCTTGGAAAGGGCTTGTTTTACTGAACGTGGAAAGGCAGAAAATAGGAGGGCATTGTTTCCTTATGGAGGGAGATTCCCCTCCCCCCTTGGTTGCTATAGTCCAGGTGCCCCCTCTTCGTGTCTTGAAACTTAATCCCCAGAGTGTTGGCATTTAAAGGTGCGGCCTTTGGGAGGGGGTGATTAGTCCTGAAGGTGGGGGCCCATGAATGGGATTAGCGCCCTGGTAGGTGGGGGTCGGAGCAAAGGGGCGAGCCTGAGTCTGCTGGCCCCTGATCTTGGCCTCCTCAGCCTGTAGAACTTGCCGAAATAAATGCCTGCTGTTTAAGCCGCCAGTGTACCTACTGTGTTTTTGTTATAGCTGGAAGGAAGCGAGTCACTTGCTGGTTATTAAGAAAAGGCAGTGGGAGGTGATGGGAGGAGTGATTTGAAGAATCGGGAGCAGAATTCTGGCCCCTCCTTCCCAGCGTTTCCTGTTTGACCCAGAATCGTGCATCGGAAACTGCCTTTACCTCGAGACACTCCCCTTCTTTGCTTTAGTTTGTACCATGTGACCTATTGGACTCAGTGAAGCCACTGGTTTATGATCTGCTTGCCCCGATCCAGGGAAAGTTGAATGAAGGGGGTGATACAGTCTATTTGCTGCTATATCCCGGGTGCTGTGAAGGGCCTGGCATACAGTTAGCACTCAATAATTACTTGTTACATGGATGCGTGAACAGGGCATCCTTTACCTGGCCGTCTGGAACTCCCTGGATTCCAGACCTTTCTGCGAAGCCTGCATCTCTAGCGACCACTGACCCTGACAGTCCCGCTGCCTTTCAAGAAGCATCCTACACACCAAGAGAGCCAGAGTCCCCTTCTGGTGCATGCGGGGCCACCTCATATATTTTGGCAGAGGGCAGCCCCTGTGTCACTGCCTCCATCAGAGATGGGGCCTGGCTCTGGTCCCTCACTCCTTGGGCCTGGGACTTGGTCCTGCAGGAGCATTCCAGAATAGCCATTATGTAGCTGCATGATTCTGCAGGGAATGATGTAACCTCTCCGAAACTCGTGTGGTCTTTTTAATCTGCAAAATTCGTCCACTAAACAAGTATTTTGCCCGGCTGTTGTGAAGATAGCACATAGTCAGGGTCCACAGTAGGCACTTAAGTAAAAGCTGCTATTACTACTGTTTCTTGTTGATGGTGCCTTGGAATGGTCTACCTAATCCTTCTGCCTTTGTTTAGGACCAACCCGGACACTCACAGTGGTGTCTTAACTGGCTTCTCTTGCAAAATTCCTCACCCACACCCGCAGTTCCCTCTCCAAAGCTGACCCGTTTGGCGGCTGAGCAGCGCCTTCAGGATGAAGTCCAGACTCTCAAGCACGAGTTTCCATTCTGCCCCGTCAGAAACAGGGGCGGAGGCCCCTGGGGGACCCTAGTCACCGGCAGCCTCAGCCCTGCCTGCGAGGAGTCCCTCCATCCTAAATTCTGTGGTTATAGTTTCCTTGCATTTACATGTTTTTTTTTATTTTTTACTGTGGATGTGTTTCTAAATAAGATAGTTATTTTTCTGTTTCTGGGCTCTGTTCCAATGGAATCGTACTGGAAATTTGTTGTCTCTTGCCTCTTTTGTTGAATGTTAGGTTTATGAGATTATTTTGTAGCATGTTGCTGAGTTCATTTTCATTGTACTCTCCATTTGTACTAAATCACACTTAAAAAATCCATTCTCATGTTGGATGTTTGGATTGTTTCCATTTGGATCTCTTGTAGAAACATGCTTTTATGAACGAACACACTTATAGGTGTGTTTATGTGCACCCGATTTAAAGGTGTTTCCAGGACTGGGGTAGGCTGTGTCAGTTTCACTGGGTGGTGCCAGGCTTTTTGTAAATGTCAGCGGGGGGGGGGGGCAGCAGAGGCGGCTTCCCCTTGCTCAGCAGCCTTGCCAGCACTTGGTATCATCAGACTATTAGATGATTTTTATAAGTTTCTTGCTGATGGTCGACTTAGTTGTTTTGTTTCTCTTTTTCTCTTTTCCTTCCAAGCTTTATTACAAAAGCTGTAAGAAACCCGACCTCATAGAATGTCTTGGCAAGGTTCTCTAGATAGATTCATAACATACGTCCTCATTAGTGGGGATGCTAAGTCAAGGTATTGTAAATGTCAGTCATCAGACTTCCCCAGAGCCCGTGGGCACAGCCCAGAGCGCCCCCAGGGCTCCCCAATGCTGTCATCTTCAAAGGGTCATCAGTTGTACAGGTGTCTCATTTTTGTTTTGATTTGCACATATCCAATTATTACTAAGTTTCACTATTTATTCACCTGTATTTAACAGCTGAATTTTTTTTTGGTGAACACTGCACCTGCTCACCTGTCACCTGTTTTCATATCAGATGGTCCTTTTTCCTCAACTTCTGCAAGCAGCTCACCGGCCGAGGAGAGGGGACCCTTGCTGCCAAAGGAGGCTGTAAATATCTTTTCCATTTGCTGCTGGTTTGGGGTTTCATTTAACTCTCAAGCTACAGAGAAGCTTTTTTGTGTGTTCAAGTTTACTGGTTTTTTATTCTTCTTCACCAGGTCTTTTCTACCATCATTCATGCGTCCTTTTGGAAATGTGGTGTAGCTTCTGTTTGCTTCCTTGACACACGTTAAAACTGTGATGTGTATCTAAACCTCTGAGGCACCAAACGAAGGCAACGCGTTAGGGACCGAGCTTCCTGCTCCCAAGAGTGTCAGTGGGTTCGCATTTTTTCTTGTTTAAATGTCGCCTCCACTATGAACTTTGCCATTTGTATTGGGGTCTGCTTTTTTTGGATTCTCCTTTTTATTTCAATGATGTCTAATTTTTCTCCCGTATAAAAACTTTTGAATTTTGCTCCTGCCTGGGTTTTACTAAGCAAACATTACCTTTTCCCTACCCCGCAGTTGGAGCCCGAGCCTCACCCGGCGTGCAGGGCGCGGCCCTGGGGACCTCTGACCCAGGTTGTGGGGGAGGTGGTGTGGGCGTGGCCACTTGGCACAGGACCCCAGCTGGCCAGGCCAGGGTACAAAAGAGGCGTGTTCTGTGACGCTTGATTGGGAAGAAGTGCCCCGTATGGTCATGAAACCTCGAGTTCAGCAGGGCACCATATGGTAGGTAGGGCCCATATCTTGGGGCAAAGTCTGATCTCATTTAAAACGATAGTGAACTCTGCCTGGGTGTTAGTTTGTCCTTAGTTAAGTAGTTACAGTGTAAGCCAGCTGCAGGCCTCGGGGTTCAGCGGCTGGGGGTGGAGGTGGACCTACTTGGGGTCCAAAGGAGAACAGGTGTGACTCAGGCTGTCCTCCACCCTCAGCAAACGGCTCCGTTTTCAGGAAAGAACGAAGGCCTTGAAATCACACAGGGCGTCTCGTTTGTACTACTTGGGTGGTGGCCGCCCCTGAGTTCTGGCGTATTTGTTCATGCGGTCCTGGCACAGGCCCCGCTCCCGGGCCCACCGAGTCCTGCCAGCTGCCTGGAACCCTGTCACGGCTTCTCTGGTGGTGCCTCCTCCCCTCTGTACGTCACGTGTTTGCTCCCGTACTTCTGGACGTCACTTTCAGACATTGCTGCTTGACTCTGTCCTGTGACAGTGGCGTTCATCCCCCTCCACCCCCTTCCCATCTGTGCAGTGCACCTCCTTCCGAGGCAGCTACCTGCCCAGGCTCAGGACCATAAAACTACCTGTCCCCAAGGCTCTAGGCTTGGCCTCAAGGTGATCTGTTCTGGAGGTGCCCAGGCCCTCCTGGTGCTCAGACGGGGCAGTGGTCTCACCTTAGGAGGCCTCTGCTCTGCTCACTGGGGGGTCATGGTGGGAGGTGTGACGAGGGCTGTCTGTCAGTCCCATGGAAGCACCCATGAATGGGCGGGTGATGGATGGGTCGTGCCAAGCGGCTCCTCAGAGGGGGAGACTGCTGTGAGGTCCTGAGTTGCAAGCAAGAGGGGCTCCGGGCATGCCTCTCGGGTAGGGCAGCATAGGGG